CTAAAAAAATGGTCGATTTAAATAACCAGAAATTATTTATGCTAAATAATGATTTGTTGCGGTATTTCATACAAAATATATTTTTTTTAAAGGTTTTCATTTGTTAATAATTTGCTATGAGTTGGACTAGTATCGGCAATATTCATTTCTCTACTTAATTTCGAGGTATTATATAGCCTTCCTATGAAATGGATTGGCTAGTAATAATTGGCCCTGATTTGAGGCCCAGTCCAGGCCCAATCACCATGATCCAATCAACCAAAAATGTTCGACACAAAAAAAATCTCCATTCGGCCCAAAAGCCCATTATAGGCTCAAGGACCAACAGGCCCCCAGCCCAATCCAAACCAAACCATACTTATGTCTTAAAAACTTAATAATTTTAATTTATATAATTAATTTAATCAAGGCATAAGTATAACGCTGAATTTAAAAAATTTAAGATTGCAATGCCCGAGATTGGAGTTATAAGAGATTTAACCAAATGAAATGATCAAGCTCTGAAGTGTCTTGTTTTGTAGTTGTTGTTAGTACGCGTTTATATAATATATTAAATAAAAAATAATTAGTTAATTTAATTATATTAATTTATTTTAAATATACTGTCATTCAAATTTATTCTATTTTTTTTTTGTTATCTAAATTTAATTTTATTTCTTCTAGTAAAAAAATACTCCCTTCGTCCCAGATACCGTGTCTGCTGCACTGTAGATATGGTATTTTAAGAGGGTGTAATTAATAGATAATTAAGAATGTATTAGTGAAAATAATTAAACTATAATATAAATAATTATAAATTAAGATTAAGATAAATAATTAGTTTAATTAAAAATAAAATAAAATTAAAAAATTTAAAATGAGATTAAAGTGTGTAATTATTTTCCAAAAAAAAAATGACATGGTATATGGTATGTGGGACAGACACAACGGCAACGTGTATATGATATCTGGGACGGAAGGAGTACTATTTATTTTTATTTTTTACCCTAAAACATAAAATTTTGTATTTTTATCTATTTTTTTTTTAAATCTTTGCCCGGTTAAATGAACACAATTGGACGAGGGAGATAATATAAATAATACAAAATCAAGATGAACTTAATATTAAAACAAAATAGATGGTGCCCCAAATTTAATTATAGATTGCACAATATGTAAAACAATGTCTTGATATTTTCTCTATATGCTACTAAATTAATCTCTATATATATATAAAAGAGATCAGTATGGGGTCCATCATATCAAATTTTTTTTGTCAAATTTTTTAATTTTTTGATTTTTTAATAAAATAAATATGTATTAAATATCATTAAGTATATCATAATTAATAAAATTATAATTAATATATTTTTAAATATAATAAAATAATTGATTTAATTTTATGATTAAAGTAAATTATAATTTTGTCTATTTATACCCCTAATTATATATAAAAGAGATCGGTGTGGATCACTCCACCAAATCTTTTTTTGTCAAACTTTTTGATTTTTTTTTATTATTTTTGATTTTTTAATAAAATAAATATGTATTAAATATCATTAAGTATATCATAATTAATAAAATTATAATTAATACATTTTTAAATATAATAAAATAATTTATTTAAGTTTATGATTAAAGTAAATTATAATTTTGTCTATTTATACCCCTAATTAAGGCTATTGAAAATGTAATAACTTTGAAATATAATTTTATTTATTTTTATAATTAAAATAATTATTTTAATAATCAATAAAATTAAAACTATCATTAATTATATTTTGTAATCTTAATATATATAAAAACGCAAATAAGTTTCATAATTATATAGTTTTTCTTTATTTTTTAATTCTTAAAAAAATTTAAAATTAATTTAATATTTTTTTTTAATTTTTATTTCTAATTTTTTCATTATAATTGATATTAAATAATTATATTAATTGATATAGTTATAATTGATAATTTATAAAATTATAATTAATTATGATAATTTGAAAATATATTTTAATTATATGTATAAAAAATGGATCTCATATCAATGTATTGTTTCTTTCTATTTTTATTTTTTTAAAAATAAATTTATATTAAATATTCATAATATATATACCATAGTAATATACATAGAAAATTTATAATTATCACAATCAATATATATAATTTGATAATATAATATAATATATATATAGAATATTTCTTTTATTTTAAAACTAAATAATTGATTTTATTTCATAATATTTGAAGTACTAATTTATTTTAAATTTTTTTTTACCTATTTATCTATATAAAAAAAAAATCTAACTCATACCATTTTTTTTTCTCACTATTAGTTTTTTAATTAAAAAAAAATTTATACTATTCAATTAAATATTCATAATTAATATACCATAACAATATACTTAATAATAATAATACTATTAATGATAATTATAATACTAATTAATGATATTAAAAATGAATTACTATTATTTTTAAAATTTTGGAAATTTTTAATAAATTTAAAACTAATGTAATATTCTAATCAAAATATATAATTAATGTTAATTATACTCATAATTAATAATTTTTAAATTTTTAAACTTTTATTCATTTTATAACTAATTTTTTAAAAAAATATTTTAAACATGCAGATTAATTATAATTATATTTGTAATTAACACATATCTTTTTAAATAATTAAATTTTATTAAACATAATTAAATTTATTATGAGTAAAATTAATTCTGACATTTATGATTGGAAGTTACCAAATATTAAGGACGTCAATTACGATCAATTAACGTCGGCATTAATGACGAATTTGATGAGAACCCAATGTCTATAAAAGACCATATCTTCACCCCATTTCAATCACACATCAACTTCTCGTCCTTTCATCCTCTCAATTTTCTTCATTTTTCCGATAATATTTTTTCAGCGAGTTTCCAGTTAATATTTAAATAACGTTTTTATTTTCCTTCACCACCCAATATAGTTGTTTTTTCCCTGCATTTTAATAATCGGAGTTCCAAAATGTTGTGATGCCACCTAATCTGAAGATGATGCTTCATATTAACGTATAATTTACTTATACTATATTATTTTATTTTTATTTTGTACTGTGTATAAATAATTTCATATAATTTTGTGTTTACAGATATTTTTGTATTATTTATTTTTAGGTAATTCATATATTAGTTTATATTTAATAATAAAATTAAAATTTAAAATGGATTTATTTTTATTTGCAATATTAATTATATTTTTGTATTATGCAGATTGCCCCCACATGACAAGATCAGTTTCTTATCCATTTCGGTCGCTTGTTCTGTAATTCTCTTAGTTTTTAGAAAATATTTTTCCTGTGAGTTTTTCTTCAATTTTTTGACAAAGTTTTTCTCTTCTTAGCCACAAAAACAGTTTTTTCCCTTAATTTTAGTTGATTGAAGTTCCAAAATATTGAGATTGTATCTAATCCAAAGATGATACAATAGTTTAAAGTATAATTTATTTATAATATTTTATTTTGTACTTTGTATATTAATTTCTATTTAATAATAAAATTACAATCAAATTGATTTATTTTTATTTATAATATATGTATTATATTATTAATACTTTTTCATTTAAATTAAAATTTCTCATTTATTTTAAATAAAAATAAAAATATTGATGATTTAATGGAGTTCTTATAATTTTATTCAAATATATTTGCGTATATATAAATTTTCAATAAATTTATACAATTTTTTTATTTTATTTCTTTATTTTTGATATTTTTATTAAAATAAATTTATATTAAATATCCATAATTAATATACCATAACTAACATATTTAACAAACTATAATTAATACAATCAAGAAATATTTTATAAATATAAAAGTTGATAAAATTATTAAGAATTTGATCCTATATATAGAATACTTATCTATTCAATTTAAAATTAAATAATAAATTTGAATTTAAAAAATAAATTTGCTATTATACATATATATATTAATTACATAACTATTGATTACATAAATTCTAATTTTTAATTTTTAAGAGAAAAGAATAGATGTGTTCTTTTAATAAAAATTTAAAGAAAACATAAAAAAAAAAATATATAAAAATATTTGATGAACAAAAAATAAAATATAAAAATGCCTGTATCGGTTTCCCACTAGTTATATGTAATGAAAATTTTCCATTTTTAATATTTATTATCGGTTAATCTCCGCCTATATTCTCATTTATTATTAATCAGATTTGGAAAAATATCAATTTTTTCTTTTTTTGCTTTAAAATTTCACAGACATTAACAATAAAAATCTAATATAGCAAATTTAATTAAATGTGATCGCTCAAATTTATGATCCTGCCATTATATAATCAACATTTGCAATACATTTTTTTTTTTTTAACAATTACATTAAAAAAGAAAAATTAATTTTATCATTTAAAATTTTCCACTAAACACATATTTACACCATATTAAAATTTTATTTCATTTTTTAAATCATTGACCAACCTGAAACGCAATCCCAAATTATAAAACAATTGGTTTGTATTTGAAGTTTGACTTTGAATATTAATTTAAATAGTATTTTAATTTAATATTTTATAAACAATCGTAATATATTTTGAATAATAAAAAATTTGGTTTGAAATACATACCAAAAACCCTTTGGTAGTTTGCAAATAACATTAATACATAATCTTCAGATTAGAATTTGCGATTCTATCGATTAATAATCATTAGAAACTCAATCAATGTTATCTACATTCCATTGTCGAGCATTAATCAGTTGCCTTTTTTTCACATTCACTCCTTTGCTTATATATATTATGTGTGTATGCGATTAATAATATAATATAGTATATTCCATAACCATATTTACATTTTCTTCATAAATTCAACACAGCCAGGTAAAATGATTTTGTTGCTTAATTTCATGTTCAATAGATGTTCAGACATACAATGTGGTTCTGTAATAACAAAAATTTGCAGGTTTTTTTTTTTGAGATACGATGAGCAGCATGAGGTATATAGATTTGTCGATCATGGGGCTTGGAGTGATCATTTCTCTACAACTTTTTCATATTGCCTACTCTCAGCTGGACGAGATTATAGAAGGGTGAGTTGGTTTAAATAGTCGATAAGTTTCTAGTTTATAAATAGAGTTTTTGTTTGACACTTGATTCATGTCGACTTTCATCGAATGGTATATATTAAGTTGTCAAGACTTTAGTTATGAATTTGTGAAATGGGATTTTGAAATTGAGTTTGAGATTGATGATCTTTCTTTCTTTTTTTTTTTTTTTTTTTATTTTGGGTAGCTTTTATTTACCCCTGAAATATAATTTACTTTTCTGCCTACTATGACATGTATTTATATAAGTACATACCAAAGTTTTGGATAATCAGACATGATTATTATGTATTGGCATTAATGTATAATTTCATCTGGATTGCAAACTTCAGGCAATTGCTGATGGAAAAACAAATCGAAGCTTCTGCCGCATATCGGTCTCAAAAGAACACCGATCATGTAAATTATTATTAGTGTAACTTTTTATTTATTTTTCGATTCATTTCAGAAGATATACCATGTCTGTAAATTGTTTTTTCATTCACTCCCTTAGGCTATTTCAATGCGATTAATTCGAGGTTCCATTACATATGTTGCATATCAAAATCTTGTAACACATAACTTATGTACTATGTTCCATTGCATATATTGCAGGTTGTAATAAGCAATGGGATTGTTAACTTAACATTGACGGTGCCAGAAGGTTATGTTTCGAGCATATCATACAAAGGGAGTGACAACTTGCTCAGTACCCAAAATCACGAAGATAATAGAGGGTGCGTGTGCGCACTAGTAATTAGCTCAATTTTAGATAATTTTTACTATAAACATTAATTCGAGCTACGAATATTTGTAGGTATTGGGATATGACTTGGACAACCGAAGGCAGTGGCGATAGGAAAGATAAGTAAGTTGTGTTCTTCAACATAATCATACTTTTTCATTGGCAAAAGACATATATAGATCATAAATTGTAATAGCCATTATACGAAAATCATTCATAGTGCAAAACATATATATATATATATTTGAAGAATATCACTGGAAGAAAAAAATATTTTTTGTAATGAAATATTTTTATCCTTAAATTTATTTTTTTCGTTACTAATGATATTAAAGGCGGAATTGATAACAGAATATATTAAATTTTATTCCTAAAGTTCACGTAACTAACATCATCTGTGTCTAATTTTCGTTACAAATATGTTAATATTATTATTATTTTGTAGTGAAATTAAGACATTATGTGTTACATGAAGATTTGTAGGTACAAGCTACAAGATTTTAGTGCAAAACGAGAAGCAAACCGAAATTTCGTTTACAAGGAAATGGTCAAATGGCAGCGAAGATGCTCCTCTAAACATTGACAAAAGGTTAAGAACTTCGAATCAATAATTTTTTATGCATATATACCATTTTCGCCTATTGAGCATTTGAATGATTTAGCAGATTTGTGTTGATGAAAGATTCTCCGGGATTCTATACATATACCCTAGTCGAGCATTTGGAAGGATGGCCTGCTTTTAGAATCCAAGAAGCAAGAATTGTGTTGAAATATCAAGAAAAGTACTTGCACATACTACCCCTATATAATTTGTTTCATTAGTAGATCCTTATACAGATTGATAGTATATGTGCTTTTCTTACATATATGATTATGAATTATTTATTACATATGTTAGGTTTAATTACATGGCTGTTTCGGATTCAAGACGACGCTTTATGCCAACACCCGAAGATCGTGATGAAGGAAGGTGTCAAAGTCTAGCTTTTAAAGAGGCTGTTCTCTTGACGAATCCATTGGAGAACGACTTCAAAGGAGAGGTACTTGTTGCATTTATTTGTCAGTATAACTTGATAATTAAGTAAAATGTATCACTATCTTGTAAAAGTCATTTTGGCATCGGAGATGTTGTACTAAGTTCGTGCTAATTTTAGTATATTGCCCCTTCTTTCTATGCTAATATACTAAACTTGTTGCTTATTTGGTATTGTGTCCATCACACCAAAATGACTTTTATGGGGTAGTGTATGAATACAACTTCTTGATTTCATTTTGGGATTAAGATGATACAACTATGGTTGAAGTGCGATGTGTGATTTAGGCGACACCTTTTAACTTATTTCGCGCAAAGATATTTTCAATAAATTTTTAAATATACACCTTGTACATTTGCATTATAGGTCGACGATAAGTACCACTACTCATCCGAAAACTATAAAAACAAGGTTCATGGATGGGTAGGTGATGGAGTTGGTGTTTGGATGATAACTCCGAGCAATGAGTTTCGCGGTGGAGGGCCATTCAAACAAGACCTTACATCACATGTCGGTCCAACAATGCTCAACGTACGTATTTTCATTTAACAAACTTCTCAACACGAGCAAATATGTGTTCTTATATCGATATTCTCTCTAACTATTTTAATAAAAGTTTTAGAGTATGCAAAAATCAAGAAAAACAAAAAAAATCTAGAAGTTCTTTACATTCTTTTTTCGAGTTTGGTTTCAATTTTTCTGATATACTTCACTACTTTTTATTTTCACTAACAAGCTCTTTGTGGCATGAATAGATGTTCACTAGCACACATTACGCCGGAGAATCTTTAGCCGTCGATATCCAAAGTTCCGAGAACTGGAAAAAGGTTTGGGGTCCTGTGTTTGTCTATCTCAATTCAAACTCTCCAGAAAAAGAAAATCTTTCCCAACTTTGGGATGATGCTAAAGAAAGGGTATTCACTAACATTTTTTATGATCATTTGAAGCTCAAACAAAATAAAACCTCACAAGTTATAACATTTTGTCTAATTTTTCTGTATATGTAATTGATTAGGCTCAAATGGAGGCAGATCATTGGCCATATGCTTTTCCACTCTCCAATGATTATCTTAAGTCGAACCAAAGAGGAACCCTAAAGGGCCAAATACTCGTGAATGATTGGTGTGTGCATAAATATATACATAAGTGTAATCTAGGGTTTATTAGGGTTTTCAAAATTTCTTCGATTAAATGAATTTAATTTGAAATTTAAATATGTTTGTTTTGCATTAGGTTTCGAAACAAGAGTGCCGTACCAGCAACATCAGCATACGTTGGTTTGGCCCGAGGGGGAGGCCTAGGATCATGGCAATATGAAAATAAGGTTAAAAATTCGAATATACACACATATATATATATGATAAGAGTTCTCCATTCTTATAATTCATGTCTAAATATTGCATAGGGTTCTAACTATAATTACAGGGCTATCAATTTTGGACACAAGCCGATGATGCCGGAAATTTCATTATAAAGAATGTGATACCTGGAACATACACCTTGTATGCATCTATTCCGGGGATCATTGGAGATTTCAAGTATTATTTAAACATCACCATTAAAGCAGGATCACAAGTTCAAGAAAAAAATATTGTTTTTAAAGCTCTGAGGAATGGTCCCACATTATGGGAGATCGGCATTCCTGATCGAACCGCGGCTGAGTTTTTCATCCCCGACTCAATATATAAAGTCCACAAATATCCACCACCACTTGAAAAGTTCGATCAATTCACAATTGATATTCATATATGATCAATGTCATGTGGTATTTATTGTTTTAGTCCTACATATATCTAAGCTTTCTTCTATGCACAATTTACAGGTTTAAAGAGTATGGGTTATGGACAAAATACACCGATCTTTTTCCCAAGGATGACCTAGAATTCACTGTCGGAAAAAGCGATTACGAACGGGATTGGTTTTTCGCGCAAGTTAATAGGTATGAACTACGAATCAACAGTTCAAATTCAGTGCTGGATCTGTTTTGTGAGAAGAAATAATAATTTTTGAAGAGAATCTTGAAGATTGAATAGTGACAAAATTGCTAGCTCAAGTAGCACATTAGTGAGCGATCAATGTTTGTTGATTGATCTAACAGGCAATCTGGAAAACAGTTCGAAGCAACAGTTTGGAAAATTGTGTTCGAGCTCAAACATGTTAACAAACAAGCAAGCTACACTCTTTGGCTAGCAGTAGCAGGAGCTCATGGTGCAGAAATCCAAGTAAGAATATTCATTCAATATACTACTTTACTCCCAAACTTTTGAGGGTTTTGATTATCATACAAAATTTTAGATGATATAGAAATCAGTACAAATTTATAGATAGAAGAATGAAAACAATAAATTATGTTCAATATAAAAATCTGTTAAAATTTAGACAAATCTCAAATACTTTAGATATATTGTTTTTTATTATATGGTGGTGAAATCATGCTGGATAATTATAAATTATATATATATATATTAATACTATTAATTAATTATATAAATTAAAAGTAATTAAAATATTAAGTATTCAACACAATATTGAATAAAAATCTGTCTAACATGTGATCTGTACTGTTATTATGTTACATTCGCTATATATAATTACATATATGTTACCTTTGCTACATATAATTACATATAGATACAAATCATGACCACACCATAAAATCATCTCTTACCGAATAGGAATAATATAAATTTTAATTGAAAGAGTTGTTGATATAATGTTAATGAATATATAAGTTTTTTAATGTAATATGAAATGAAAAAATAAGTATATAACTATGATATCTTTTAATAGCATAGTATGGTGTTTGAGTATCTCTCACTTCTAAAAAAAACAAAATGATTTTATATTTTCATTTGTTCATTAAGGTTTCAACAAAGTATCCATATGCTTGATGTTTAGTCTTGTATATTAATTTTGATTTTAGATTTTGGGTTTTTGCTTGAATAATAATTTTGATGTGATTTTTCTATGAAAACTAATATATATATATATATATATATTTATACGAAATCATAGTAATTTTGATATCATTTTTAAGAATAAATAAATAAATATTTATACGAAACCACGAACAATATAATACATAGTAAAGAAAGTTAAATCAAACTCCTAAGGGAACAAAACCAAAACTCCTTAAATATATATTCTTCTACCTCTTTTGTCTCGCTCGAAATACTAATTTCTGTATATATATATACAGCAAAACCCGCTTTCATATTTTTAATATACAGATTTGTGTAATGTTTTTTAAGGTACGGATTAATACTCCAAGTTCGCGCCCTCTTTTTTCGACTGGATTGATAGGCCAAGAAAACATAATAGCAAGGTCTGGTATTCATGGGATGTACAGATTATACAGCATTGTCATTCCAGGAAATCTTCTCGTCGATGGAGTGAATACAATATTTTTGAGACAAACTCGGGCTCTCGGACCCTTCCAAGCCGTCATGTATGATTACATTCGTCTTGAAGGACCAGCTGCCTAAAAGTGTATGAACATAAGTTGATCCTCTTAATTATGTATCCTACTCTTTTAATGATTAAAGAACATACAGTTTGCATTATTTCATTCAATTTTGAGCTTGATCATATGACATGTATTTTGCTTTTCATATGCACGATTATAATTATTTATATTATAGGATAATTATTTTCACTAATATATTCTTAATTATCTACTAATTACAGTCCTCCTAAAATATCGTGTCTACGTTGCAGCAGACACGGTATGTGGGACGGAGAGAGTATATAAGTAACATGGCATAAAATGACGACTTAGAGCATTATATCACAATAGTTGAAAGAAAAAACGTTTTCATTTAATGAGTTGTCCGGATACCTTTTGTGATCTAAGTGTTTTTTCATCCAAACATATAGAATAATACTTCCTCCCTCGAAGGTCACATTTATTGTATTTAACATTAAAAATATTTTTATATTTGTATAAATTTTAGTACAAATGTTTCTATTAGTATTATAAGACACTAACAGAGGTATTTTTATAAGTTTTTTTTTTTTAATTTATACTACGTTTTGATATAATAATTAATATTCAAAAATAAACTAAATAAAACTCTTAGAGCCGGGCGAATGTAGCAGCTTTTTCTCTCTTCGCACGGGAAGAGAATAAAAAAGAAAAAAAGCATGGATGTTACCTCAACTTTACCAGGTCTGACTCTGTGTACCTCGATTGTACATTATACTTTTGACAAAAAAAGAAAATACTTTAATTAAGTGTGAAACCTTCTGTACCATCACCATTGTGTTTGCTCTTTAATAAACTCGGATCCTTGTGCAACAAATTGCTTCAAATTCAATAGTAACCAAAAGCACAACATAGCATACAAAGTAACATATACTTTCTTCGTTCAATTTCTATTATTTTAAAGTATATTTATACGGGTTTTTAGGTTATTTTATTTTTATTATAAATTAACAAATTTGTCCTTAAATGTATGGTAGAAATTAAAAGTAATACACGAATGAAGGATAAAAATGTAAAATTTATGTTTAAAAAATGAAATAGGACAATAGTTGTTAGACATTCCAAATAAAAAAGTAGGATATTAATTTGTAGACGGATGGAGTATATTATTAGCTATATATACCCCTTAATTTAATTATCTACTTGAAAACTTTGTCGAGGCCGTTCACCATACCAATTCGACGACGACTTACAAACACTCCTTCAAACATTAATTATTCCGAAGAGATATATATATATATATATATAAATGTGTTCTAAGGGCATTTAGGACGTCCCTCTTGAGTCTTCCAGTTGTTGTAGCAAGGGCAGGTCTGCTTGTTGCCGTAAGTCCCCGGCGGCACACAAAGGCACGTTGTGCAGCATTTATGGCAGAAGAACATGCACGGCTTCCGGTGGGACGTCGCCGAGCACCGGTACGTGCATCGCGCCTTGCAATCTACATTTGTTTAGGAATTTGAATTTTTAGTTGAAATTTAAACAATAAAAAAAAAAATTGAATTAAAACAGTGTATGATATCGTACAAATAGTTGTTTATATAATATTTTGAATCTAAAATTAATTGTTAGTGTAATATAAAAAAATATATATATAGGTATTTGATTTGATATTTTTTTTTTAGTAAAAATTTTGAAAATTTGTCAAAACAACTACTCCCTCTGTCCCCCGCTAGCTATAGCGTCTCATTTACTGTAGACAACGGTGATATAATTGGTAAATAATTAAGAATCTATTAGTAAAAATAATTATTCTATAATAAAAATAATTTTAGATTAAGATTAAAACAATCAGTCTAAATAAAATTAAAAATATTTAATATGCTATTAAGTGTATAATTCTTTTGAAAAAAAAAAGTGACAAAATATGTGGATGGACTGAAATGAAAATGTGAACACGTAAGTGGACAGAGGGAGTAATAAATACCTTGAGGGCGAAGCCGACTGTATCCCTGACAAGAGGTGAAAGCAAATCGATGTTAATCAACTCGATCGTAACTAAATTAATATATATATATATATTAAATTTAAAAATCAGTTGCAGAAACTGACCTGAACAACGTCAGTGAAAGCACCCATTAGAAGCATGACTGCCATAACCATCAAGAACACACTTTTGTTGCAGGGTCGACAACTAGCCATGATCGATGATATATCTCTTTCTTTCTTTCTTTCTTGTTCTTGCAATATATGATCACACTAAAAATCTTGTCTTGGTGATGAAATAATTAATAGATCATATTCTGTGCCCAAATCTGTATTTAATTAATTTATAGGGAGAAAAAAGTGTAATTGGAAATTAGAAAGCAATATTTTAAGGCGTTGATTTGGGGAAGTTAAATTTGGACAATATGATGGGTGTAAAAGAATGTCCATCTTTTTGGATTTGGTTTTGTGGACGCGGAAACGTCGCCGTATTTGGTGTGCTAATTTAATTTTAATATTTTTAAAAAATTAATTTGATCACATTAAAGCTGTCTACCTTTGACCTTTGCCCATGTTAGTTGTGTCCTTCCTCCCTCCTTTTTTTTTTTTTTTTTTTTTTTTTTTTTTTTTTTTAAACAATTATCACAATGAAAGTCCTAACCCTTGACCTTTGTTCAATAATCAAATTAATCCTTTTATAGCACCAAATTAATTTCTAGAACACATCCCTTGCATATTATTAGATTTGTCAATTTGTCAAAACCTACCGTGTTAAATTTAAAATTCAATATTACGATGAATAGTACACAATGTGTCAATGAACAGTACGTGATATTACTACTTATCGTACATCATTTATATTAATATAATACAAATACAATACATAAATTAACAACACATGATATAATATTATTTAATTTTAACGCATAATATATTCTTATATAACACACATTGTATATTTTTATTACACACAACAAATCCTTCCCAACTCACAATACACTGTGTGTTCTTGTTATTTCATTACAATTTTATTTTTTTCAATACAACACACTTCTTACAAATAAAGAATGTGTTGTATAATTCATATGGTAGGTATACAAACTTTGTTAAATAAAAATATTTACTATCTATGTATTTTATATTCCCTCCGTCCGAAAAGAAGTGTCTTGAAAGTTAGCACAAGAATTAAAAAATAATAATATTTAATTGAAAGTGATATAAAGTAGAATGTAAATGACTAAAATGCCCTTGTTTTTTTTTTTAAGGATTTTAAAGAGTACGTTTAGAGTAATAATTAGATATAGTATGGAAAAGTAGGAATAATTTTGTTATAAAATAGAGACCACGGCTATTAAATAAGGAAACAAGACAATTATTTTAGAACAGACAAAAATAAAAAAACAAGACAAATCTTTTGGGACGGAGGGAGTATGTGCATATTAGTTCAGCGTTGATTTTCCAATCATTCAGTTTTAGATGATATTTAAAATACAATCCTATATGTATTTTTTTTTTCTTTTTGGATAATTCATGATTTGCTGATCCAGCCCGGTTGGAATCGGACAAGGCTTTCTGTAGGGATCCCAATCTACAAAACACCAAATACAAAGGAGGCGATTGTAAGGGGAAGAAAATGACGAAGGCCTTGGTGTGACTTGCTTTGTCGAGCGTCAGAGTGTTAGATTTGACCGAGAGGTTTATCCAGTGCCTGTTTTCGATAGCAACTGCGGATTCCACATCATAAAAAAATAAAAATAAAAATGATGAAAGCGGATAAGAAGACGAAAGAACTAACTCGTTACTCAATTAGATTTGTCACATTTCTTGGACTGTTCTTTTGTGGATTTTAGTATATGATTTTAATTCAAAATCTTTTTTCTTTTAAAAAATATCATATCAAGCAATTATTTTTTTATTTTTTTATATTATACTACAAATTTATTTTACTTTCAAAACATCACGTTAACCTCTATTTATATCACATTAAACAACTATTTAAATTTAATTTTTTATTATTCAAAAATCAAAACCCAAAAACTAAAAACCAAAAACAAATCCACCCTAAGTTTATTGGACTTAGAAAAAAAAATATATTATTTTTTTAATTTATTTTTTTATTCTATTAAAATTGACATAACCCAGCCCATTGTGAAACAAGCCCAATACAAAAATCTAATTCAGTCCAGAGTCATATTAAGCTCTTCGTCCAACTAAGAAATATACATTAACTTTTGGCTCGAAATTTAAAAAATAATAGTATTTTAATAATAATGGGTAGGTAAAAATAGTGTAATAATATTTTTACCTTTAGAAACAATAGCATTTTAATGATAATGGGTAGGTAAAAATACCTTTACTTTTTTTTTTTTAAGAGTATTATATAATTATTCAAATTTAAAAATTTAATTAAAATTTTGAACCAAAGTTCAAATTTCTAAACAAACATATTAGTTAGAGCTGACAATAGGTCGATTCGTGTCGGGTTGAATACTTTAAACGGGTTAAATTATTCAAATTTAACCCGACTCGTTTATTATCGTGTCGGGTTCGTGTTGACCCGTTAATTAAGTCGAAATTCTTGATTCAAATTTTTTTTTGTGTTGTTATGTTAAGCTAATTTTTATTAGTTTGAGTATAAATTAAATTGAATTATTTAAAATTGAATTTAGTTTAAATTAATTTATGAAAAAATTATTAAATTAAGATTATTTTATCTATATAATAAATATATTAATCAATATTAATATATTATAATCGGGTTTGAGTTGAGAACTTCAATCCTAACCTGACTTATTTATTATCGTGTGTCGAGTTCGACTTATTTATTATCGTGTGTCGAGTTCGTGTCCATCGTATATATAATCGGATTGAAATATTTAATCCAACCACAATTATTTGATGTTGAATTTGAATTGAATTGACGTGTCAGATAACTTTTATTAGTAACACGCCTAATTCGATCTGAGCTGAAAAATAATAATAATAAAATAAAATAAAATAAAATAAAAATTGTAATTATCCATATAATAATTACTCGTGGAGGTAAAATGCAGCCGTTGCTCAATTTCATGTGTTTATGGTCGCTGATGACGACCCGCCAAAATGCAGCCTTCTCTCGTCTCTCATTCCCTTTGTTGGCGTCTGAGGGGCCACAAGCTCTTGTGGTCGGAATTTCTTCAATCCTTCACGGGCCCGCTCGCTCGCTCTCAGTCCCACTATTAAATTATCGTCACTCATCTCACCGCTTTCTCGGATCTCACCCCTTCTTTTGGTCTTACCCACTCCAGGTGAGAGCGTTTCCTTACTTTTCAGCATTACTTACTGTTAATTTTGATTCTTCCATGTCACTTGGGTTTCTGAATTTCTTGCTCTTTTTGTTTGTCAATTTCACGTTTTGTGGTTTTTTGAAAACTCAAATGGAAGTCTCTTCGAGATTGTATTCAGATTATGATTTTCAGCAGCGAATTGAAATTATAATGCTGGTTTTGATACTGTGAATGCTTGGGACGAATTGTGTGCTCGATGCTATTTTAGAAAAATTTCAGTAACAGTTTAGGGTTTTCCGAGATTAACTATTTTATGCCGCTAGTAATATGTGGGTTGAGTGAATATTTATACACCTGCATAATTGATGATGCACACACACCCATAGGCTTGCAACATGTGCTAACAAATTTTAGTATGATCGAGTTTCAAAAAAAAAATAAAAAGCATATTGTGCCAATCTATAATATGAGTGAGGAAGTATGGAGCTTATGCTTATTAAATCCGAATTCGACGGTGAATTCGACCTTAGTCAAGGAGGTTGCGCCCCCAGTGGTAGTCCTGCTAGCCAATCAGCGGGCAGGGGTCGGGGAAGCCGGCCTTACGGGGCTTAGAACAGCGCCCCGAAAGCAAAAGACACTCTTATGGGCACATTTTGAATGAAAAATGTTTGTTCAGTCAAAAATGGGTGCAACCGCACCTATTTTAAGTTAAGGATTTTGGTCATTTACAATATAAGAACACATATAATCACAATTTTAAATTTATCATTCGATCAAAATTCCTTGTGTTTCATTTGGGTTATCTCGAAATTAAGTATTACAAATCCTAGGGGCGAATTATAGCACTTAAAAAGTATTTGTTTCATGATACAATCATTTATTCAATGTATTACCCGTGTGTTCATCTTAGCTGATGTGTAGGATGTTTACTGAATATTGAAGTTCATGTAGAACTAGAATTACCATCTTTTAATCATTTCCTTATACACGATGTTACTACATGAAATTGAATATGTTCTTGATAAAGATGATTATTATTTTCTTAATAACTATCCCTTTGCAATTGTTATTTGTATTTGCCTAAGTTTCTCATGGTTTCACTTTTATATCTTTAATTGAACTTCAAACAGTGAAGTAATTCTCTGGAAATGTCCAGAGTTCTAGGTGGAGTTCTGGCCTCTAAGCTTATTTGTGGTACATGTTTGTAGGGCCTCTTTTCAGTGGCCCGTGAGATTACTTGATTTCCAGTCATGTGCATTGAAGACCTCTAAATGCCCCCGGCAATGGAAGAAAATAGGATTCCTAATTCACATTAAAAGATAAGGGGAAATCTTCAAAGAAAATGAAGGAAAAAAGATGTGTTGTACATAGAGTGTGCTTTTCTATCACGCATTAAGAAAATTTAATTCCGATAGTGATAACTAAACTTATCTAGATGGTACTTGCTTTCACCAGTCTGACGAGACGTGCATATGAGATGTTTTCGAATTTTAGAGACTAAACGCTTTGTTACAGGGAAGAAAAGAGAATAGTTTTCTGCCTCTCTCTCTCTCTCTCTTGATTGAATAATGATTAATGCAGGAGAGATGGAGGGAAAACACAGAATATAATTTCATGTTTTAAAATACTTGTGTATGTTTAAAATAAACTGGAATGGCTGGGATGTCCACAGCATAATCCAATGCCAAATTTTTATCCGTACAGCTCTCCACATTTTGGCGTTAAGAGATTGACAATGGTTATTGATCATGTTGGTGGTGATGATAATGAGATTACTACTCTAAATATTTGGCTAGATTTAATGCTATAATATGTTATTGGTATCTTTGAATTCAGAGTATGACTTATCTGTTCTAATTTTGTTTAATGCCGTGTGCTTTATTCTGCAGCTTTAACTCCTGTGAAATTGCTGGTGTGGGGGACTCACTTTCTGCAACATTTTCCGGAGCTTCCACTGATCCAAGATTCATGGCAAAACCAAATGGGGCTGTCTGCTCTTCAGCGAAATCTCCTCAGCACCCGAAGTTATATGCCGTAAACAATAAACAATCCAGCAGATTTCTTTCACTATTGAAACTAAAGTTTTTGAGCAAGGGTGTCTCACCTCTAGGTGGAAAATTAAGTACTTCTGTTGGATCTCGCGGAACTTCTCTTGTTTGTAAGTCAACAGAGACACACAATACAGAAACGAAGGAGCGTCCCCAACTGTATGATGATAGTTCAAATATCTCCAGGTATTCCCGGCTTTCCTGAAAGAAAAACATTAAACTTGTGCATAAAATTGTTGGTTTTATAGTAGTAGGTTGGTTGCTTAATTCTGTTGTCAACTCTATCAAATGGCTGTCCCAAAAAGGTCTAAAAATCTAAATATAATTATCAAATTACATAATGGTTGCTTAACTTTTTTTCGTGGAATGGGCTGTGTTTGGTTTGATGATTCATTTGTCTGCCTGCTTCAGCTCTCAAAATGGAGCCGATCATATGAACATGTCATGGAAATGCATCTGTTACCATACGGGATTAGCTGAAGCATGCCGGTTTGTTTCCAACGATGCAAAATTCGTCAATGAAAGGGCTAGAAATGATATTGTCCTTCTTTCACGGTATGTGATTGTCGAATTGTCTAGCAAAAGTAATAATTCCATGCTCCAACACTCCCCGGATGCACACTGTTTCTAAAATTTTCATATATTTGCAATTTTCAATATGCAATTAAAATAATTTCTCTCTTCACAAGTTGCAAGGTGAAATCAAAATGAATATCCTTAGTTAACTTGTTCCTAATTCTCATCTCCTAATAGAGGAATAAAGAAGTTGGATGCTCGTGCTCGGAAAGATGTTGCATTCCTTGGTTCCGAGTTCCTTAAACTTGATGGTAAGGATTTCTTCGCTGGTGTGTGCTTTGTTTTAGTGAACCAAATTGTAAAACTTACTTTATGAATAATAGAGTCTGCATACTTTATCTTGATTGTTGGTTCTGTAATAAATAAATAATTGATGCGTATCCCTTAAAGTTTAAGATTTAAAGTGAGATGGTCAGAGATGGAATCTCCCGTGTTCGAGTCTCATTGTATCCATTTGCGGTTGTAGCTTTAAGGAATACGCATCATTTTTTTGTTTAGCTGTCCTAATTTTAAAAGATATGCATCATTTATTTATTTATTACAGAGCCAACCAACATGCCCACTCAAGTCCAAGATGAATATATGCAACATACAAATCTTGCGAATAGGGTGGTGGTACTCGAACACAGCACATTCCAGCTCTGATATAATGTTAAATGACCGTCTACTTAAAAACTTAAGCTTTAGAGGATACGCATCATTTGCTTTAAGGATACGCATCATTTGCTTTAAGGATACGCATCATTTAACAATGATTAATTTACTGGATCCATTGGCGCCCTTTTCTTTGGCAGCTCGGGCCAAGGAGGATACTGAAAAAATTGATCACAATGTGAAAAGAAGAGCCGAGAGGGTTCACCATATTGCCACTGTGAGAATCTCTCATTCTTTCCATAAAGCAAATCTAGGAAATACTTTTCGGTCTTGTTGCTGTTCTAACTATTTTCAGTTCGATTGCAGCTTCTGAAAAACAGGGCAGAATCAAAATTAAAAAGTGCTGCTGACAAGCACTGGAGTGATGGTGCATTAGAGGTGGTACAATTAGGTTTCGAATTTATGATGAAATCCTTATTTGAGTTTTGCTTCAATATTTCCGAGCCTATGTTTATTTTTCAGATCCCCCAAGAAATTGACCTTGCTTTCTCATGCGCAGGCTGATTTGAAGAGAGCAGACTTTGTTGCCAAGCAACGTGCAGTCGAGGATTCTCTGATGGCTTTGGAGGTATTATTCAAAGAGTGATTTTGATCAATTAAATCAGCACAAATAAACTTTTTTCCTGCACTACAATGGCCTCTGGATTGTTTTTATCAACCCAAGCCAGGCTACCCTGTCTATAAAGATATATATATATATATATATTGTTTTTTATTCTTTATTTAAGGATTCACATTTCTGTTTGTTGGAGTTGCAGTTTGTAAAAAATATAATAGATATGATGGTGACGAAAATGTACAGGTAAGTTCATTGACAATAATCTTTTATCATCATCTACACACATAATTATTAATCTAATTTACGTGTATTGAATGAATAGAAAAGAAGATTCTACAAACACCATCAAGAGCACAAGCCAGATTACACTCGAAAAGAATGGGATAAGTCTCGACTTTCCTCAGGAAATATCTGCAGATCGTATTAGCCACATTCAGGTTTGACTTATATTTAAATATAAGGAACTTCTAATTAACTGAAAACCCTTTTCGTGAGCCACTTTGTTTGTTGACTTATAGGAAGTTTATTGGAGTATAGCTTCTGCACTCTCCGAAGCTGACGGAATCGACTATACTGATCCTGAAGAGGTTTTAGTTCATTAACACGAAAGTTTGTTACTTCATAGCATTTTTTGTGATTCTTTTTCTACTTTGGTGGTTTCTGTTTGGAGCAGCTGGAATTGCTGGTCGCTGCCCTTATTGATCTCGATGCCATGGATAGTAAAAGTAGTGTATCCCTGCTAGCAGAGTGTTCAAGTTCGCCCGATGTCAGCACCAGGTAGATTTTTTAGTACTGGATTCAATGAGTCGATATTGCTCTTTCAGTGCTACTGTTAATCGAAAGAGCTTATTTAAAATGCCTTTTGAGCTAGAACATGTTCTAGTAACTTTCAATTGTGATGTTTTAATTTAAAATTGAATCATTTTGGGGCTGGTTTTATGAAATTAGGAACTACAAGACACTCCCCTTTTCGGTAGGATTGTTGAAATCATCTGAATTCTTATATATTGAATATTGTTAGGTATAAATTATTGAATTAGTAAAGCATGTAATTTGTAACATAAAAAAGTTGGATGCAACTGCATATTGCAATAGCTTGTGTACTATTTTAGGGTTCATTTACTTCGGGTTTTGTTTTTATGTATTTGTTTTAGTGTTTTGGAGGTGAGCGTTGATGTTTTGTATTAAAAATTCATTGCTGGATGCGATGTTTTGGGAGGAAATTCGAAGAGATTAAATAATAAAAAAAATAAATGTGAAAAGCTTTTGACGGCGCTTATAAAGTTTCTCAATTGTCTCTTAAGACATTTTGAAGAGCTTATAACCTCTCCTAAGCTTGAATAAGAACTACACAAGATTTTTGTTTGATGCAAATTCATAGCACCCGAAAAATATTTTCATACTTGTAATTTTGTTCTTGCTTATCTATATTGAGGTATATGTATATATATATATATATATATTTTTTTTTTTATTGAACGTGTTCTATTTTCATGACTTTAGCCTATTTCTCAGAGTCATTTCGACTCCACCTTCCCGGAGTTCATTCTCGGGGAACTCCATTTAACTTATTCTGGTGTATCCGCTCCATCTACTTCTTTTCTAATTTCATCTGCAAATAAATTGTCTCGAATCACCAATTTTCAGGAGAGCATTAGCTAATGCATTATCGGCTGCTCCATCAATGTGGACACTTGGAAATGCCGGCATGGGCGCATTGCAGGTAATATAGGGATACACATAGTCGAAATCTCTCTGCAGCCATATAATTCTGCAGTCTGGTAATGTGCACTGGCTTGCAGAGATTGGCACAAGATAGCAATCCAGCAATTGCTGCTGCCGCCGCGGAAACCATCTTCGAATTAAAGCAGCAGTGGGAAATAGAGGAAGGCGACAGCTGGAGGTTCATGATGAACCAGAACCCGACCATTCAAGATGACGACGATGAAGGAGATGTTGATAAACAATAGGAATGCAGTATTCAGTTTAATGTGTATGTAGAATGAAAGCTTTTTAGTATAGATTCAACCAAATAAATGAAACATATATATATATATATCTTTCTAGGATGTCATCCATCCTTCTCGTCGATTATGTTTCCCTTTTCCTTCGCCCCTTTCTCATACGCCTTCTAGCGAATGGTTTGAAAACTATGGATACCGTATTCGATCCGAACCTTAGTTCACAATTAAGTGTGTTTGTAATGAATGTACCGTTAGCTAATTGACGACTATAAGATGATTGAGTACGGTATACCGCTATGGCATCTATGTACACACATTATATATCTTTATATATCACATATAAACATGTTACGTATATATACATATTTGTATTAGATGGGGTTGGGTTGGGAAAATGGAGCTGAGGATCCGATGTCATATATATCGATGTATTATATGTCCCAAATTAATTGAAACACATGCCATAAAGGTGATATTGTTCTATATACTACTGATGGCCTTGAGGCTATTTCTAACCCCTCACTCCATTTTTGCAATTGCTACACTACAGTAATCTTCAATCATAAACTTAAATTTTTACTTAAAAAAAAGTATATTCCCTATGTATTCCTCTTTTATATTATTTTATATAACTTCATATTTATAAATTACACCCCAATTTTAATTATTTTTACATTAGATCCATACACATAATTTATAAATTATTTAAAAATTACATATATAAAAATTAACATTTATAATTAATAACTATTACAAATAAAAATTAAACATAACTTTTTACAAAGTAAAATTACACCTTAATTTAAAAAATAAAATTACATATCACTTTTAAAAAAATAAAAATTATATCACTTTTCAAACAGTAAAATTATATATCAATTTAAAAAATAAAATTATATATTACTTTCCAAAAACTAAAATTATATCACTTTTAAAAAATAAAATTATACATTATTTTTCAAAAAATAAAATTACATACAACTTTTTAAAATATAAAATTATATATCACCTACTAAAAAATTAAAATTACACAATACACAAAATAAAAAACACCACAAAAACACTGTGGATTCCTGCAAAAATGGGGGATGATCTAATATCTCCTTTTTTTTCTTTTTGTTTATTCTTTTTTTTTTCAAAAAGTGATATTGTGGCGCGGATGCGTCATTGCTGATGGTCTAATTAAAACTATTATAGAAATTCCATTTTCAATACATTATGAAAATACTATTCTTTCTATTTTGATATATTGGGGATGGTTATTGTGCTGATTTAAAAAATTACTACAAAAAAATTTATTTTCAATACATTATGAAAAAATCAGTAATTTTTTACATCAATACAAATTATATATATATATACACACACACACACACGAATAGCACACATTAATATTACATACACAACACATATTATACAAAAAAATATATATAAATAAAAAATAAAATTTAATTTTAAATGTTAGAAATATATGAAGTAATGTATATATAATTAAATATATTAGATTAAAAGAATAAATATTATAGGTAAATTATTAAATATATTTATATTAAGTATGGGGCTCATACTCATTATTATCACCGACCCTGACCCAGCCGCCCTATTGCAATTTTTAATTATTGCAATGATTGGAATACGGGTGTGTTTAGTTTTGAACACGTCCATGTTCACATAAATCCAGTAATATATTGTTTAATTAAAGCAATGTGCTCGTGTTATAGTTAACATGATCGTATTTATTCTAGATCATTTGTCACATCAGCTTCCATTATAGTCATGTTAGTCAATTTTATTTGAAATTTAAATTGTGGGACCAAAAATGATAATTTTTTTTTTTTTTTTGTATGAGATCAATTTTGATAATTATTTTTGGATGGAACCAAAAATAAGAAAAAATAGGTTTAATTGGGATCAAAATTGATTTTTACTCGAATAATTATTTATTTTAATTATATTTTAAATTTTATAAATATATAATTTTTTTATTTTAATTAAATTATTTAATTATTTTAATCTTAATAAATAATTATTTATATTATACTTCTAATTATATTTACTAATGCAATTTAATTATTTACTAATCAAAACTTCACATTCTCGTTTGTAAAATAGACAATGACTATAATAATATTGTGAAAGTTTGAGTTTCAAATTCAACTTGTGCTGGGGAATTGGATTGAATTTACACTATTCATTCTATTTTTTTTCCTAAAAATATCAAATCAAACACCTATTTTTTATTTTTTATATTATACTAAAAATCAATTTTACATTCAAAACATCACATCAACACCTATTTATATCACATCATACAACTATTCAAATTCAAAATTTTTACTATTCAAATCCCAACTCAAAATCCAAACTCCCAAACAAACACACCCTTAATATATTGTTGATTATATTTAATACTCCATCCGTCGTAGATAAGATGGACATGTTAATGTAAATACGAAAATTTAGGTAAAGTATAATTAGTAAGTAATTAAAAAGTGTATTAATAAAAATAATTATAAATTAAGATTAAGATAATTAATATTAAAAAAATATATTTTAAAATTTTAAAATATAATTGAAGTGTATGATCAATTTTCTAAAAAATGACAAATTATGTAAAACGGACGAAAATAGAAAATATGAAGAAATTATGTGGGACGAAGGAATTAAAATTGAAGTTGATTTACCAACCAAAAATAGTGTTATTTTCGTCCCTTTTCATATCTATTATTAACTATACATACATATGACTTTTTAGTTCCCAATGTATTTTTTATTAATGGAGTAACAATTTTCAATATATATATATATATATATATATAAGTTAGAATAACATGTTGAGTTTTTAAATTCAACATTGTTGAGTGTCATCTAAACTACTCCCTCTGTCTCAGATATCATGTCCATATTGTCGTTTTTATTTGTTCAATTTTAATTCACATTGCCGTTTTTATTTATTTTCCAAATTACTATGTCACTTTCTTTTTTTGGAAAATGATTACACATTTTAATTTCATTTTAAATTTTTAAATTTTTTTTAATTTTAATTAAACTAATTAGTTATCTTAATCTTAATTTATAATTATTTATATTATAGGATAATTATTTTCACTAATACATTTTTAATTATCTATTAATTACACCCCTCTTAAAATACCGTGTCTACAGTTTAACAGACACGGTATCTGAGACGGAGGGAGTATTAATTTAAAAAATTTTATTATTTGATTAAAATTATTAAATATAAATCAAAGATTGGGATAAGATTTAGGAGGTGCTGAAGTAATATAACATCATATCATACCCTATATAATATATTAACTCTCTCTGACTACGAGGTCTCATTTACTTTTTTGTGTATTAATTTTTTAATATTAATTATCATAGTATGTGTTTACTTGTGAGATTTGAATTTGATTTTGAATAGTAAATTTTTGAATTGAAATAATTATTTGATGTGATATAAATATGTATTGATTTGATATTTTGAATGTAAAATTTAATTTTAGTGTAATATGATAAATAAAAAATAGATGTTTAATGTGATATTTTTGAGAAAAACATATTGGAATAATAAAATATAAAACCAAATCACACAAATAAACACACCCATAGTACAAATAAATGAAAAATGACAAAAAATACTTATGTGTCTTATAATACTATTATACTAATAATATTTGTCTAATAAATTATACAAATATAAAGATATTTTTAATATTAAATAAAATAATACAGTAAATTAAATGAAATTCTCTAAAGGAATATATATATATATACACGTGGACGTATATGAATTTCCCAATGTGTATTTAATTGCCATGTGATCACCTCCAGGTCACCATCTCCCTGTCAGCTCCATTTATAAATTAGCGTAGATCTAATTGCTAAAAGAGAACGAAGAAAAAAGAGAAGAAGAAAAAGCAGGGAAAAATAAAATTAAAAAATAATAATAATACTATGTTGTCAAGTATCCTAAAATTGCCAACAATGGTATGGAGTTCTCCGGCAACGGCGACGACGATGAAAAAAAGATATATCCATATTATCGAGAACGTGCCGGATTTCTCGGTGTGGCTTCGCCACAGCTGCTGCGAATTATTCGACTGCTGCCGGTCATATGGATCGCGATGAAGATAACCGATTATCCGAGTTGTCCGGGGCAATCGGGGCAGAGCTCATGCCGAAACATGTGGCCGTAATTTTGGACGGGCACGAGAGATGGGCCAAGAAGAGAAACTTGCCGACCCAAAAAGGCCACGAGGCCGGGATCGATAATCTTAAAACAATTATACTCACTGCGAGCTCTGATTTCGGAATTAAGGTTCTTACTGTTTATGCTGCCTCTGTCGAAAATTTTCAACGTCCTCAAGTAAGTAGATTGATTTGTTCTTGTCTGTATTTGTATTTGTATCTTAGTTTGTTTTTAAATAATGATTGGATGTAATATTTTTTAAAAATATTATATACTTATAGAAAATATATATATATATATATATGAGAATTGCATGTTAAAATATGGGTTTGTTTGGTTTTATATTTGAATTTTGATTTAAAGATTTTTTTTTTTTTAATGTGAAAATAGTATTAGAAATTATATGATTGAATAGTAAAATTTTTGGATTTGAATCAAAACCAAACTCTCAAGAGATCTAAAACATAATATATTCATTATGAGTATATTTGATTTTCATTTTAAATTAAATTTTTACTACTTATCTTATATGGATTTTAACGAAAATATATAATTTTTTTATCACAAAATAGCATAATCAAAATATTATTTTAGTCAAAAACTCAATTCAGAATTTCAATTTCAAATCAAAACTAAACAAACTCTATAATGTTCTTGTTGAATTAATTCATTAAGTGATTTTATTTAATCTAATGATGAGTGATGGCAAGTTTAGTGGAGTAAGAATTGTAATTTAGATAATTTATTTTCAGGTAAATAGTGAATTATTGGAAAATTTATTGATATATATATATGTGTGTGCGCGCATCTATGTAACAATTTCTCATATATCATAACATGTTCCATTAAGCAATGTTATTATTTTATTGAAAAAGAAATAGAATATACAGGATGAATTACCGATGCCAAACAAAATTAGTTTATTATCAATTATGTTATTCTCATAATATTCTCTATTTTTTTTCTTCAAGATCGCTTACATATCATATATATTTTCATAATTGAACTTATCATTACTATGGTAATTTTTTTTTAAATTAAAAATAATAATAATAATAATAATAATAATCAATTTAAATTACTTACTTAAAAAATCAGCTAATATCATATGCGTGTGTATCGAGGCACAGGCGGAAGTTAATCACGTGATGGGCATATGGGAGGATTTCATTCGATCATATGTTATGGAATTAATACATCGGTAATATAACTTAAAACCCCTTCTACATGCTTATTATTACATTAGAATTTCTTTATTTCTCATGGATTATTAACACTAACTATTAAAATATTTATAATTTTAGGTGTTTTACGTCAGGATAAGAAACTGTAAAAATATTAGTATAAAAAAGTACAAGTATATCTTATATTAATATCAAAATCAATTATTTTAAAATTATATATAATTAAAACATACATCTCTTTATTTATATATATATATTGGGGATACAACTTTATATATTAAAAATAAATGACTACCATTAATATAAATACATTAATAAAAGGATATAAAGAAAAATAGATTGTTTTATTTCATTTTATATTTTTTACTCTACAATCTTTCATTTTTTTTTTTAGTCTAAAACATTGCATATAATAGTATTACATAGTCATTATCAAATATAACATCTAACACCTATTTAATTCAAACAGAAATAATTTGCGGTTCTCGATCATTGGCGATAGACCAAGACTTCCGGATTCGATACAATCTGCAATATTGGAGGCCGAGGAATCGAGCAAGTTCAACAATGGAATGCATTTTGTGATGGCGCTGAGATATAGCGGGCGTCTCGACATAACCGAAGCGGCCAAGAGAATTGCAAGAAATGTCGGGAAAGGAATAGTGCAACCACAAGATGTGAGCGATGAGTTACTACATCAACACCTAATGACGAGCTCGATCCAAGTTCCCGACCCCGATTTACTCATAAGAACCAGCGGAGAGAGGAGGCTCAGCAACTTCTTGCTTTGGCAATTGGCCCATACAAAATTCTACTTTGTCGACAAGATGTTTCCAGATTTCGACATGACCGACTTTGCAGAGGCCCTCACGTATTTTCAAGGTACAAAGAGATATTGATGCAAGAGCTATAGTTATGTTCGGAAGAAGAATTAAGTTGCGGACAATTATGAAGAGATTCGAGTTAAAAATATTACTCCCTCCGTCCCTTAATAAATAATTTATTTTTTATTTTGGTCTGTCCCAGAATAAAGTATCTATTTCCTTTTTAGTAACTGTACTATCTACCTAACTTTACAAATACTCTTCAATATAATTACTTTTATATTATACAATACTAATAAAAACTTTGTGTAAGAAAACGAATGGATAGATAAATATGAGACAAATGAAATATGTACTTTAAATGATCTTTCATCCATATTTTTTGTTTTTAAAAAAGGCCAACCATTATAATTCATTTCTAGTCATAATTTCTATATTGATAGATTCAAAAAATATTAATTTATATTCTATTATATATATATATATGTATATATATATATATTTATAAATAGCATTTTGTTGTTTTATCAAACTTATTTAACAATGATAAGAAATTTGATGGAGAATAGATTATAAAGCTAGCTCATAATGTTAGAATAGGCACATTATAGTAATTACAAATTTTGGGTTAGGTCTTATACATTAACCTTTATATGGGCCTTATTGAAGCCCATTGATCTCTGTTGAGGAATTTCAATTCAATCTAAGTCCATTTAACTAACAATAATAATAATAATACTCCTTCCGTCCCAAACAAGGTGCTACATTTAAGTTGGATACGAAATTTTAGGTGAGAAATATTAAATAGGATAATTGAGTAATTATATGATGTGATGGAGAGAGAAATGTGTATTTTATTTTTTTATTAGAGTGATGTGATGAGCTAGGGATATAGATTAAATATAATTAATTATTTCCTAATTTAGAAATGTTGCAGCGTATTCGGGACATACCAAAAAGAAAATATTGCACGATTGGAACGAAGGGAGTAATAATTTAAAATTGTATTATTGTTCTTTGTGAAAAATATTTGTTTAATTTTGTATGTAACAATCTTAATTATCTAGATCATTTATTAACAACTAAAGCCTATATATATATATATATATACATTTGGATCACAAGTGTAAATATAATTCAGCATATGCATACTTAATCACAACCATTAATCAATAAAACATAATTAAATCAATTTAAACATAATCTTAAAATTGAAGGTTAAGATTATTCTTGAACATGCTGAATTTATAACATTAGCATAGGATCTTCATATTGCTATGTATAGGGGTGGGTGTTGGTATCTGGTTCTATTTTTTTAAGTCCAAACACAATTTTTTTGTGTTGTGCTCGGATCGAACTTTCGGGCCGTACTTATTTTTGTCGTCCTTACTTTTATCCATAACAATTTTCAAAATGAAATCAAAACTAAAATTTGGTATTATAAATTGTATGTAATTAATTTATGTCAACTTCAGTAATGACATCATACATAACAATATTTCAATAACAAAAAGACCTTCTCGACTATAAATTAAATATATATAAGAATATTTCTACCTGGGCTTTATCAAATGATCAAAATAATAGTAAGAAATATTAAATACATAAATTATATTTATTGCATACGTATAGTACGTATACAAACATATATACTATATGTATATATCAGATGTAAAGTTTTATATTGTTATATAAAATTAAAAATAGGTAAAAAGGAGGTGGATCAAACGGTGATAGGTATTAGTTTATTTAATTTATTATATAATTAATAATTAAATATTTATTGACATAATTAATTATTAAATTAACACATCAGGTGATCCACCACCAAATAAAAATATATTAATGTGTCGGAAAAATCTTTTAAATAAGTTTGATCAATTATATGATGTATGTCAAAAAATAATAATCAATTCTTAATTAGATCTATAGATGATATGATGTGATTTCTTGGTCTTTTTCTTCTTTTTTTTTTTTTAAATTTTTTGTTATAGTTGATATTCTTTTTTTTTTATATATAAGTAAAATTTATTAAATTAAAATATAATTAATAAATATAAATCAGATCACTCAAAACTCCTTTATTTTAATTTTATTTACACTATATATATAATCACTTTTTTTATTAAAATTCTCCAATCTGAAAATTTTGTAGAGTTGAATAAAACGTTAAGAATGTGAAGTTTTAAGAACTTGGTTTAAGAGAGGCATTGTAGGAGGATAAATCAATGTGATATTTAGTTGAATTGAATAATATTTATGTTAAATAATGTTATTTTAAGTAATAAGTTAAGTTATAGGGTGGTTAATATTTTTTACATTTAGTTTTGTTATGTACTTTATTTTTTACTAATTCATTCAATTGTATTTATTTATTTATTTATTTTTTTCTGTGGATAAATATTGAAAATCATTTAATACTTTTATTCTGCTTCATCTTGCCTATCTCTTCTTATCCTTCAAATATATTTGAAACTTTTTTTCCTACTCTATCCTATACACTGTCCAAGGTATGGTGCATTATTTGATTTTTAACACAGAAATTTAGATTAATAGTATTAAATAAAATAAATTGAAAATTAGGTGTTCATAAGAAAGAATTGTATATTTTTATTTTTTTGTGATGCAATATAATAAAAGTTTAACTAATTATTTTTTATTTTGAAAATATTGTAAAATTTGTAAAACTGAACAAATAAAAATATTATTCCCTCTATTCCATCGGAATTGAACCTTTTGATTAGGGACACGGTATTTAAGGTGAGAATGTTTAATTAGTTAATAATAATTAGTTATAATATTATTATATTATTTTTTGTATAATTAATAATACTTATAGTTTTAAAGTAAATTTAATATATATGATTAAAAAAATAAAAATATATGTTTAAATATTTAAAAATTATATAGCAATTAAAAAATATATGCAATATGAATATCATTTTGTAGAGAATTAAATTTTCTATAATACAAGTAAATAAAAAAATATTTTTTTTATTTATAATTAACATAAATCAGTTTTATAAAAAATTGTGTAGTTTTAAATATAGATAAAAATATTTATTTTTATAAGAGAGAGGTAGAAATAAAGAGGTTTTGAGTGGTCCTACGTCATTTATATTTGTTAAATATGTTTTGGTTTAATCATTTTTACCAAAATAAAAATGTGTCAATTGTTACGGGATAAATAAAAATAGAGTCAATTGTGGTGGGACAGAGGGAGTATAAAATATACAGAAGGAGAGTAGTTTATATTTATATAGTAAGTGATGTGTTATAAATAAATATATATATATATATGTATATATATTACTATAGTAGTATATATTGAATAATATTAAGACACAAATAGGAGTGTTGTATATTTTTTTTTGTTGACAGTCACACAAATATAATTTAAGCAATGTTGGAAACTTTTGTTTGCGGATAAATAAGTTAATAATGTATTTTCATAATAACTTGAACTTTCAGGTGAGACGGTCATTATGCACATCGGATATAGTATTAGAGTCGGTCTCACTGTTCCCATTTGCGGCATATGCATGTGCAAGTTTCGAATATGTCCACTTGCACCTGAATGGACATGTTGGGAACTCCTGTTTGCTAAATAAATTAATGGTTCTTTGCATCCGACAAGCAATATAATTTATATATAACATTTTATACATTTATATTATGCAAATAGATCTATAGTTTACACCAAAATTTTAAAACATTATATTTCCTAAGTCGAAAAAAAAGATAAAGTAAATAAATTTATACATCAAGCTCTAAGTATTATACATCACAACTTTTTAATAACTTTGGCCTTATCTTCACACAATGCATTTCGTAAAAAATATTTCATTATAAAAGTATCACTTTTTTATTCAAAATATTTCATTATAAAAGCACTTGACCAAATCAATAAACTAATCTGAATAAATTATCAAATTATTACACAATATATAATCAGACCGGATCGTCTGTCCCGGGCAGAACCCTGTCCCGCTATCCCATACACACGTGTGTGTGTGTGTATATACACATGTATGTATATATAAATACTGTGTATGGGGAGCCATGAGAATATGGTTTGTTTTTGGGATAGATGATCCCATGAGATAAATAACACATCACTAAGTTACATATTAACTTAAAACAATTAGCAAATCGTCACAAGAGAGATAATATATATTGTGCTATTTTCTTTATGGATATTTGCTAACTGGATCAAAATATTATTGTAATGAAATCAAAATACATTCTGCTAAAATCGAAATATATTTTGTTTTATATAATTATAAAATGTGCTATTCAAATATGTGTTATATTCTACATCGATAATTTTCTTTATAAATATTTGCTAATTAGATCAAATCAGTATCACTTTGATTTGACCTCATCAACACAGTAACCGGAGCAAATATATATATATGCAGTAATTTTGTTTGGTTCTATTTGAAATCGAAATCAACATTATTCCGTCGGTATATTTTTCAATAAAACTAAACTTTAAAAAAATATATATCATATCATATTAAAATATTATTAAAACAAAAATTTAAATGTAATATTTCATTTAAAATCAATTTCAAATCACATCGAAACAAACTCTAAATATTTCCTTTATGCCAAGATGCCATCATTCATTTGTCTTAATATTGTAAAGACAAAAAGACGATTTTATTCGCAAGTTTATTGCATATTTAATTACGCATAATTAATAATTAGTGAATAAAATAATGTGCTTCCCTGGACATGATTGTACAACGTTGACAAAAAATTTTAAGTTGTTACATGTGATTCTGCACTTTATTAAATATCTCAGATCTCTGCTACAGTCACGATCTCGCCACTAATACTACTATTATTAAATTTATTTTTTTATTACTCAGATTTATATGTATATATTTTAACAAGCCTAATTTAAATAAATAAACCAGAAGTTGAAATCTAAAATATATTTATATAGTCATAGTCACACTGACTGCATACAACATTATTACAAACATTGTATTATACTCCATCTGTTATGCAAATGTGTGTTCATCTAATCAGATACAAGTTTTAATAAAAGTGAATAATAATGGTTATCTTTTCTTTTTATAATAAAAAAAAATATATAAAAATATAATAATTTTTTACGTAAAAAAAAACGAGAATATTTTTCAATGACAATCAAAAAAAAAAAAATGAGTATAAATTTGAATGAATATTTATGTATATGTATATTTTGGGAATTGCATAGTGTAAATGGAAGTGAATAGTACATGGCCAAGTTCGAGAAATTTTATTGCATTCAGTGTTTAATCAATTATAGAAAAAAGTACATCAAAGTTTGGAAAAAAGACAAACCTACTTTACAAATGAAGAAATCTTGTTATAAATAAAAATGTGTTTCAGATACGTTTTAGGAGTTTTTTGATTAATTTACAAATGATAAAAATATCAAATTGATTTAATTTGATTTAAATAAATATTAGTACATATTTGAATGGAGACTCAATTTTTACATTTCCTTTACCGGAATCAATGTATCTGTCTTGTCATTTTAATCCATATATTTTTTTATTTTTTTTAGAATTTAAATAGTATTGTAGTATACTTAATCCTTTGTTTTATTACAAAATATTTCAAAATTTATTTGCAAAAAATATATAGATACATTTATACTAAAAAAATATAGCACTTCCTCCGTTCAATAATTATGTATCTATTTATTTTTTCCACGGAGTTTTAGAAATATTAGTATTATATTGGAATATAGTAGGAATAAAGTAAAAATGACCTTATTACTATTATGTGATATAAAAGGAAATAGTATTTGTGTAATATATTGGAATGTTGTAATGATATTTGTAATATCATGTAGATAGTACATTTACTATAAAAACAAAATAGATACTTTGTTATGGGACAGACTAAAATAGAAAAATGAATATTTTGTTATGGGACGGAGGGAGTATAATAATTTTTAAATATTAAATATATTTAAAATATTAATTCTTTTTTTAAAAAATAGTTAACAATTCGGAGTTTGAAAACATTTTGGTATACAATAGTGTTTGTTAGAATATTAGACTAAAATTATTTATTTCAATCATAAGAATACGTACATATTTATAGTGATATATAAATCGTTTAAATAAGGCAAAAATTTTATGAATCTCTTAAATAAGATAACTACCATAAATATAATATATTGCTTCTAAATATATTTTAACACCCTTCCTCAAACTCAAGATATGATCGAACAAACTTGAGTTTGTCAAAAGTGACCGAAAAAGATATAGCCGAGATTTTTCACATACGAATTTGAATTCGCCAAGATTGACTGAGAGTGATGTAGTCATCTACCGGCTCACAGTCAAAAACAAAACTCTCAACATCGTTAGAGTTAGAAATAGAACTTGTTCGTTCACAACGGAACTATAGCAGAAAACAAGACTTGCTCACTCTATAGAGCTAGAGTCGGAAACAGGACTCGCTCGCTCACAACAGAGCTAGAGTTGGAAACAGAACTCGCTCGCTCACACCAGAGTTAGAGTCAGAAACAGGACCCCCTCGCTCTCAATAGAGTTAGAGTCGAAAACATGATTTTCAACGGCATTAGAGTCGAAAGTAGACTATGTCAGTGGAGTAGTAAAGACGAAGACGACATAAAAAAACAATATGATCGTAGATAAAAAAAAAATATACATTAATAAAATATAAAAATATATACGCGATATAACGGGTCATGGATATGCCCGGAGAGAATTTGGCTCTAATACCATGTTAGAATATAAAACTAAAATTCTCTATTTCAATCATAACAGTATATGCATATTTATAGTGATATACAAATCGTCTAAATAAGACAATAATTCTACGAATATCTTAAATAAGATAACTACCATAAATATAATATATTACTTCTAAATATATTTCAACAATCATAAATTAATAATGTTTATTATCTTTGTTCACTTGTAAAGTTTATATTTTCTATTGATGAGAATACTAAAATAATAATATTTAAATAATAGCAGTGGTATTTTTGTATGTAAAGATTTATTATTATATTTTTATTCTTTGTAATCGAATTTGTTGTAATGATATTAATCGGAAGTTTGTTTGATTATCGTTTGAAATTGATATGAAATAAGGTTTTGATTTGAGTTTTTATTTAGTTCGAACAGAGGGAATAATAATACTAATAATAATAATAATAATCCCTCAGTCCAACATATTATATCAAGTAATTTTTATTTGTATTAGTCTCATATTTCATGTTATTCATATTTTAATCTCATTTTAAATTTTTATTTTATTTTAATTAGACTAATTAATTATATTAATATTATCTTAATCTATAATTATGTGTACTATATATATTGTAATTAATTTTACAAATATATTTTTAATTATTTACTAATTATAATTTTTCTAAATTTCGGTATCTATACATTATATCTAGGACTGAAAGGAGTAATAATAATAATAATAATAATAATAATAATAATAATGTATTTCTATATATAAAATTTTACCATAATTAGCAGTAAAAAACATTGAAACTAGACTATTGAGAATACATCTAGTCTTTTATTATACAAATTTGCTAAGATGGTTTGCTAGGGGATACTTGGGATTGGGGTACACTAGCCAGTATGTGTGTATATATATATATATAATATGTCTGCATAAACTAGTATTTCACCTAACATGGTATGAAATAACAAATATATACATACTGTATATAATCTCTCTCTCTCTCTCTCTAGATATATATATATATATATCCATGTGAGAATTCAGCCGAATTATTGATTAGACAGACAGGTTTTGATAAATTAAATTATTATTTGATTCGATCATATGATGAAACCACCCTTCCCTTGCAGACAGCAATAATTTATTTACACAACATCACCAACTTCAGATCGAACCACCAATATATATATATATATATATATACACACATAATTTATTTTAATTTGTAGCAGAGATCTGAGTATAAATTTCATCCACAAATTCCAATTCCTCCCACAACCAAACATGTCGTCCACAGTTCTCAAAATGCCAACAACACAATCGATGATCAATCCTCCAATGATTCTGAGGAACCATAAGACATCTGCACCTCACACCGTAAAATCCAGTCACCGGCGGCGACCGGAAGCTGCCGGTTTCCGGCGGTCCGATTTTAGGGTTTCGGCAGCCTGCAGATTCCCTTTGTCTGCAGTAGCCATGGATTCATCTACAGAGGTTTCTGATTCTAAGGAGGAGGAGGAAAAGAGAATTAATAATAATAATAATGTCCTATTGCCGGAGCTGATGCCGGAGCACGTGGCGATAATCATGGACGGGCACGGGAGATGGGCGAAGGCGAGAGGGCTGCCGAGGGAGAAAGGGCACTTTGCCGGCCATGCCAACCTTAAGCATATCCTACTCAGTGCACAGTACAAATTTGGGATTAAAGTTCTTACTGTTTATGCTTTCTCTACTGAGAATTGGAAGAGGTCTGAGGTAATTATTTAATTACCTTTATTTATTTATATATTCAATTGATGAATTTCATTAATCTGGTTTAGTTAATTATATATATATATATATATGTTCATAATATTGTAATAATATGTATATGTATACATGGGAACAGGAGGAGATCAAGTTCTTGATGGGAGGGTACGAGGGTTTGATTCGATCATACGTCATGGAATTTATACAACGGTAATCAAATCGCTCCTATTTTATGTGTTATAATTTTGATATATTTATACATATATTGTCATTTTTCCATTGGTTTTTGTTTAGAATGTTTTTATTTTATAATTTATATTCTCTTCGATCAACTAAATAGGCAAGTATATATATATATATATATATATATATTTGGTCTTATAAAATTATGCTTAAAACTTTTGGATACAAAATATTATTTGTATCCATTTTTGTAATGGTAGGGTCGGAATTTTATAGGATTAGTAATGTTAACTTTTAGAGGCATGGATCAATCGATGATCCGGTCAAGTCAGCATAGTGTTGATTTGACCAAATTAGCATATACAACGGGTAACCATCTTATATTTATACATATTTTAACATATTTATAATACAAACCTATATTATATTATAACTCAGCAACATGTGCTGAGATATATAAAATATATGATGGTCTCTCATATGGTACATGTTGCTGACCCGATAAAACAAATACAATGTTAACTTGATCAGATCAGCGCAATTTTTAAATTAAACTAGTATGAGTGTAAGAAATATGTAAGGTCCGCAAGTAACATTTGTGTAATTGACGAAAAAATAGTAAATATAAATTTAAACAAAAAAAAAGGGTAAAATGACACATTTTTACAAGATAGAAAAATAATAAATTAAAAAGAATAATAGTATTATATTTCCGAATAAGTTTGTGTAAGAATAAAAACTCAAGCATTACACCTTAAATTTTGTGGAGATGGTATTTAGATAAATCGAGATGAAAAATAAAAATAAAATAATAACTAAACAAAAATCTATTCAAAAATAAATAATCTTGATAAGAATATAAACACATACCTCATTTTTATCGAATCTTAAAAAAGAGAATATGATATGAAAGAAAAAGAAACCAATCTTTTTTTACCTAAACAAGAACATGTTCGGAATGTGTATAGAAACGGGTTGCGATTCTCGGCCATCGGCGACAAATCGAGGCTTCCGGAGTCGATGCAATCCGCGATAAGGGAGGCGGAGGAGTCGAGCAAAAACAACAAAGGGCTACATTTTGTAATGGCACTTAACTACAGCGGCCGGCTCGACATAACCCAAGCGATGAAAAAAATTGCCAGGAAAGTGGAAAAAGGGAGCCTTGCAGCCGAAGATGTTAGCGATGAGTTGCTGCAGCAGCACCTGATGACGAGCTCCATCGACATTCCCGACCCGGATTTGCTCATTAGGACAAGCGGAGAGAGGAGACTCAGCAACTTCTTGCTCTGGCAATTGGCCTATGCCGAATTCTATGTTATTGACAAAATGTTCCCCGACTTGGACGAGGTCGACCTTGCCGAGGCTCTTGTTTATTTCCAAGGCCGACAGAGACGATTTGGTGGGCGTAGCAAAGAAGATCAAGAAAATCATCATAAAGATGATAAAATTTGATGTAGAGATCATTTCGATTGTTGTTATTGTTTTTTTTTTTTTTTTCTTCATATGTTTAGCAATAAAGTTTTCTTTGTTGGTTTTCTTTATTTGTTCATTGTGAAATTGGAGTGATCTTTGTGCTTTGAAGTTGTTTTCATGTTCTTGATTCTCTCTATGGTAAATGTGGTTTTCTTTCTTTTTTTGTCTTTTTTTTTTTAAAGATGCATATAAACATATAGTTTTTCAAAAAGACTTTGGAACTTCTAGAAATGACAAAATTTTTAGGGTTGTTGGAAAAAAAAAAAAAAAAAAACACTAACTTCAAAACAATTTTTTTTATGGCAACGGATAGAATGTTGAATTTAAAATTTAGCATTGCGCTGAAAAAGACATTTTGTGTTGCACACAATATTATGACAAATAATACATTGTATATATTAATATAATATAAATACATCAACACATCCGTCGGATCTGGTTTGCAGGTATTAGATTCGGCGGAGGGTTTACCCAGTGCGTACTTTCGGGAAGCGGTTGCGGGTTCCCACGTCATCCAAAAAAAAAAATACATCAACACATGCTACAATCACATACAACACACACAAGAGTTGATGTTAAAATATGACATATTCTTATACAGTACACGTATAATAATGAACAACTTTAATAAAAATATATGTTATTTGTATATATTATAGGTGCTGAATTTTTCAAATACACGCGGTAACTATTCAATTTATTTATACACAACTTCTAAAGTTCCAATTAAAAAAATAAAAAAAAAATGAACAAAATTACACAAGACAAACCTTAATTAAACTGATCTTCCTTTGATTATTGAAAAAATAAATTCAATCATAAAATTGGAAACAAATAAAAAAGTGTTTTGGTACCTGTTAGGTGTAAAACAACAATCAATAAATCCATCCCATCGTCATTGGCATCATCATCATCAATTTCTCTATAATTGGGAAACAAATATTGTATTACAATTGTATTGAAAAAGAAAATTATGAAATTATAAAATAATCTTACAATTCAAGTAACATAGCTAATTAGATAGTTGCTGGAAAATTTGTTGAAGAATCTTGATTGATATCTACATCTGCAAAATAAATATAAAACTATTAATATACTTCATTTTAATTATAATAAGTATGAAAAAATTAAATAAATAAAAACAAAAACTTTTTACTCTTTTCAAGTTCTTGTACAAGTTAAGATCATCATTAATTGTATTTTTGCACAAACTTAAAGGTTTGTTTCTTTAGCAATTTTTCTTAAATTTTATTATTTGAATTTTGTGTTTTTTGAAAAAAAAAAAATTATCTCACAAAATATCTCATAAAACATTATTTTCATACTAAATTCAAACTAAAATTTTTCCAAACTCATAACCAAAAAAAAAAAAAACACCTAATTCTCTACCTTTAAGCATTTCAAATTAAATTCTATCCAAAGATTAGAAATAAATAGAAAAAATATTTCAAATCCAGCTAGATGTAAAAAAACAATCAAGCAACTCATCCCAACATCTTTGTCATCGTCATAATTTTTACATAATAAGAAAACAAACGCATTACATATTTATATTGAAAAAATATTGAAGCAATATTCAAAAGATGAAATTATAATATAATCTTACGCTTCAAAGCAAAAACCAATTAGCTTTGTGATACCCGAAGTTGATAGAGATAAGTTGGGAAGAATATGATACATTGGTGTTGAATATAGATTAAATTAATTGAATATACCGTTTATATCAACAATGTACGCATTTTTTTTTTTCGTAAGTTCACTTGAAGGAACTCTAGAGTTAAATGTGTTGACCTGTATGGTCAATTTTATTGCGGGCTGGGGTGTCACAATTGATATTAAAGTCGGCCTGCGACAGTCCATAGTCGTTTACTGGACTATTGAGGGCCTAGCAATTGACAGATCTTTGAGGTGCAACGTGGACGTTGCATTCTTAAGTCGGGGAGGATCTGATACTTCATAGTTGAATACAGATTAAATAGACTACTCATAGGGCATGGATCAACTGTTGATTTGACCATATCAGCATATGCTATAGGGGTGATCAGTATATATTTATACATATTTTATCATATTTATAATACAACATATATTAAATTATAACTCGGCATATATTATTTTATAACACAATATATATTGAGATATGTATAAACATATATTGGTCACTCATATGACATATGTTGATCCAGTCAAATCAGTACAATACTGACTTGGTCGGATCAACATAGGATCTGCAGCACTACTCATATCAACAATGTGTATATTTTTCTTCGAAAATCCACTTGAAAAAACTTTGTAGTTAAGTGTTTTTGCTTTAGGATAATTTGAATAATTTTAGGATGAATGATTATCGGGAAATCTTTCAAGCTACACGTGAGTGGGGATAAAAGTGATGAAATATGTCATCTTGACCTATAAGGCCAGCTTAACCCCCGCCCGATTTGTATAGCTTACTGGCCGAAGTGTCACGTAGATAGTTGCCGAAAAAATTGTTAAAGAATCTGGATTAATATTTTCATCCGCAAAATAAATACAACATTGTTAATATACTTCATATAAGTTTTTTAAAAAAAAAAAATGTTTTGCTTTTTTCAATTTTTGCAATTTCCTTATACAAATCAAGATCATAATCAATTAGATATTTATCCAAGCTTAAATTTGAAATTTTCTGCCATTATCATTCCAAGAGAAATTCAATTAAAAAATATTATAAATTAATAGAAAAATATTTCAAAAAGATAAAATCATAATATAATTTTACACTTTTAAGTAAACCAGCCAATTACATAATTGCCATAAAAATTTTCGAAAAATTTTGATTGATATTTTCATTTCTAAAATAAACACAAAACTGTATGTTTGTTTTGTGATATTGTTAAAAATGAAACTGTGTAGGAAATAAAAAAAAAAAAATTAATATGTATAGTATATTAATTTTTTAATTATCATAAATACTATAATATTAATAAAAACAAAGAAACAGTTTACTATTTTCAATTTCTTCGATTTTTGGAATCTTTTTACAAGTTAAAATTAATTAAAAATGCCTTACCCACCCTTATTTGTTGTGTTGTCAATAAAAATATTGAAAATATATATAAAAAAATAAAAATAAAAATTGTACATTGCTTATTGTAAAGTCATCACCATATTTCACCATAAGTAGAAAAATATAAATAATATATTCATCCGCTCATTGAAATGGTTGACACTTTCTATTTTCGTCCATTTCAAAACAAGGTTACTATTTCCTAATTTAATAAATTTACTATATACCTAACATAATAAATACGCTTTTAATTTACATTATATTACATAAATCTCGTTACTTTTATATTACACAATACTAGTAGCGTATTTTCATCTTTTTCACTACAATTCATTATAATACTAATATTAAAAAATTTATGTGCAAAAAGTAAACGACAACCTTGCATCGAAACAAATGGAGTATTTTATTCGAAAACGCTTTTTTCCTTAAATATACATTTATATTTATATATATATATATATTCTTTTGAATTTCCCCACACTCTTCCACTTGCTTAATGGGCTTTCCCTCCAAGACGTGTTGGCTATACAATTCGAACCAACCACGTTTTCCATGATTCATAATATTTTATGCAAGAGTTGAGGTAGTCGAACAAGAAAAATTATAATTAGATATTGAAATTTTTACTATAGAAGAAAATTGAATTCAAAACAAAAAAATATATATATTTATAGATTCGCAAATCTTAAATATATATATATATACCCCAAAAATTAAGAAAAGAGAGATCTTGTAGGACCAAAAAAAATATCGGAACTCATTATTTTTTTAATAAGTTTGATTTGTTGGGACACTTCAAATAAACCAAATGACTTTTGCCAAATTCTAAACATAAGTAGAAAACGCGACGAAAATTTAAAAACAAAAAAACAAAAAAAAATCAATGTTCATCAAGAGGATTCAGTGGTTAATTCTATCGTTTACTTAGATGATAATAGATTAATAATTTAATTTATTGTTGAAAATTTAATTTATGATTAGTTTGTAATTGTCGAAACTAGATAATAGGTGACTGAGAAATGTATTGGGTCAAAATAATAATAAATTGTATTTATATTATTAATTTGTTTCTTTTGCAAAAATATTTTAATATATTTTTTCAAAAAAACTAATATATTCACTCCCCAATACTAGGTCATTCTTACATTGTATGTTTTTATTTATTATTATTATTTTTTTTTGGCTAACAATTTTGTGTTGATTATCAGGTATTGTAAATTTTATATTGCATTGATATTATATTAATATATATTTTATGTTATTATTAGAATTTATATTCAAATATCTGAACGTACAATAATTTATAAATTAAATTAATATATACTCAAGTTGTGATTGCAGCATGGCGCAGCATGGCACGTTAGCTAAAAAAATCAAGCAATTATTACATAATAATAATAATATTTTTATTATTATTAAATATATGTTGAAATATTTAAGCATACAATAATATATTAAATTAAAATATCCTCAAGTTGTCGATTGTGGCCTGGCACGTTAGCTAAATCGACTTTGACCAGAGATGGGTCTACTTAACTTTGACTGATCTTGTTTTTATTTAAACTAACATAATATATATATATATATATATATATATTAACTTTTACCTTTATTTAAAAAAACAAAAAAAAAAAAAAGATAAGCCCAATTGTGTTAAGCCCAATAGAGTAATGGGCTAATGGATCAAACTAAAGAAGTTTCCCGCTACAATATCTAACCTAACTTGTATCTAAGCTGAAGCGAGTTAAGTTGGGCTTAGACTCTTTTTTCGGCCCACTTAAATCTACAATAATCTTCTATTCTTATAGGGTAGTGGACCTTATGCCCTAGTTTGTTTGTTTTTTTTTTTAAATAATAATTTAATACTATCTATATCATACTCTAAAAGTTTTATTTTGCAAAAATATTTTTATTAATGTTTTATAATACTAATAGAAGAATATTTATACAAAAATTTATACAGATATAAAGATATTTTTAATGTTAAGTACAATAACGACAAAAAGTAAATATGACCCTTAGTGTTTCATTAGTGTAGAAATTTTATTAATTTTGATTTCAAAATTCACGATGATCTGGTAGTATTTAAACAGTTAAATAAAAAATTTAAGGAATAATTTTTGATGATCTTGTGATTATGATGTCATGAGTTTAAATTTGACCCCTAATTTAGTAAGTATGAGATCATATGTGTTAGAATATTTCATTTTTTAATTCAAATAAAATCTTAATACCAACAACAATAATAATAATAATAATAATAATAATAATAAAGAAGAAAGTGTATAAATACACAGAGCTTAGTTATAGCTGGATATTATTGATGGTAATAAAAATTCTTGCAAAAACCCTCGTGGGTGGTTTTTACCTATAGGGAACCTGGGGCTGGGGGTAAATGGCAATGGTATGCCCGAAGGCCGAAGCTCCCGATCGAGGCCTTCGCTGCCCACGTTTCTCCGGTTTGCATCTCTTTCCTGTTCTATCCATTGATCGATCTCTGCTCTGCCCTACTTTTGGTGTTAATACGTATCGATTAATCTATGCATATACGTGGCTCTACTTCCTCTGTTCAAGATTCATTCATTCATTCATTTGCGCTGCTTGCTCTTCCCTAACGCAGCCTTTCCATGGCGTTCGGTGTTTATGTATTTTCTCGTATACCTTGCTCTGATCCAATCTCGATTATGATCTGTTTAATTAAAATATCTCGATTTTGCAATTCTTCCCCTGTTTCTCCTCCGTATTTCTAGGTCTAATTATTTGCCCTAATCTTCTGTAAAATGGTAGAATACAATCTAATATTTATTTATTTACTTATTTTTGCTATTGATCGGCAGCCTGCTGTCTGTCTGATTTTGCGTGGAGGGGTTTCTGGAAGAAGTGGTGATTTATTTGGCTGTTGATTGTAACTTGGGATTAATTTTAACAGTAGGGCACAACAAACAGAGCGAGGTGATTTATATTGTAAGGTTCTTCTTCTATAGTGTGATGGTGTAATTATATTTTTTGTTTTGAAGTTTCTGTTGATTGTATTCTTCTTGGCAAGTTTTGTGGTAAAAGTCGATACATATATATATATATATATGCATTGAAGTTAAGTTAAGGTAAAAGGGCAAGTCAATGGGGGCAATGTAGTAAGATATGGATGTGATTATGAGCTATTTGTAGTTCTTGATTGAATTTGGCTCTAAAATTTTGAACTAATATGTAGCATTACTATCGATTTTGAGTTTAATGCGATGTTCTTAATCAGACCACACATTAATAGTTAGTTAATCGAATCTTGTTCAACTTCCATGTGAAGTGTGTATTCACTTGTTACTAATGCATTCTACCTCTGCTCTGTGCGACTTTTTGCTGTATACATGTTCTTGTTTTTGTCGGATTTACACTTACGGTTGGTATATCATGATAGTCAATATTCATTCTGTTTGATTACATGTGTGGCACAGTCTAAATTCGCTTATTAGCGTAAATTATGTCATCATTTGGGGCTAAGTAATTTTGGATGAGCTAGCTTTTAGGTATATTTCTTGCAAATAAGAATTTTCTCTATCGAAGAATTCTCTAAAAGTTAAATGTAATCGCGAAAGCTTTCCTAAGTTTTTCGCAACTTTGCTATACAAGTCAGCAACTTATTCGACAACTGGTTGCTGTAGCTATTGTAAGGTTTGATGGATTTAAGTAGAACGATTTCCGGGAGAATATCTGCATTCACATCCCAACTGATAACATCATATAAATGTCAATAGGGTTTTACTTAACACCTATATATACTTGTTGAATACTCTCTTTAAAATTAAGATCGAAACATACTAATGAAAATACTTGATTTGCCCTAGACACAAGTTTGTCGGGCTATATCACCAAATTCTCGTTTTCTGCGTGTATTTTTATCTTGATTTTACTTAATTTCGTTTCAACATTTGCTTGACTAATTGCGCAGTGCAGATGGCTGACGTAGCAAAGGATCTAACGGCGGGGAGTTTTGGTGGCGCGGCGCAGTTGGTATGCGGCCACCCTTTCGACACCATAAAGGTGAAGCTTCAAAGCGCGCCGGTTCCATCCAGTGGCCAACCACCCAAATACGCCGGGGCCATAGATGCCGTTAAACAGACACTAGCTTCTGACGGGGCGAGGGGTTTGTACAAAGGCATGGGAGCTCCACTCGCAACAGTCGCGGCCTTAAATGCGGTGATCTTCACAGTCCGAGGCCAGATAGAGTCGCATTTGAGGTCTTCCCCGGGCGCTCCTCTTACAGTCGGCCAGCAAGTCGTTTGCGGCGCCGGAGCTGGTGCGGCCGTTTCGTTTTTGGCATGCCCGACAGAGTTGATAAAGTGCAGGTCAGTTAAAAAATGCAACCGATTTTTCACAATCGATCAATTCGACTAATTTGAGCGTATTCAATTCAGATTACAAGCTCAGAGTGCAACGGCAACGTACGCCGGGCCGATGGACGTGGCGAGACACGTGATTCGATCAGAGGGCGGCGTTCTGGGTCTGTTCAAGGGATTGGTCCCGACATTGGCTCGTGAAGTTCCGGGAAACGCGATTATGTTCGGAATTTACGAAGCGCTGAAGCAGTACTACGCAGGCGGGCAGGATACTTCGCGTTTAGGAAGAGGGTCGCTGATAATGGCGGGAGGTATTGCTGGGGCATCGTTTTGGGCATTAGTTTATCCAACTGACGTCGTAAAAAGCATTGTGCAGGTCGACGACTACAAGAATCCGAAGTTTTCGGGCACGATCGACGCGTTCAAAAAGATCGTGAAGGTCGAAGGGCGTAAAGGGCTTTACAAGGGGTTCGGACCAGCGATGGCCCGGAGCGTTCCGGCGAATGCTGCTTGCTTCTTGGTGTACGAGGTATGTAGGTCTAGTTTAGGATGATTCTTGGATATTCTATGATCTGCCATTGTTAGAACTTGCTGAATGAATGAATTTGGGACAGTTTGGGGATCTGGCAAAGTTATCAGTTTTCTTACAGGCCTGTTTTGGATTTATTTATGTATGAAGTAGCAAATTCATTTGTAAATGAAAATGTTAGTAGGTTGCACTAGCTTACGTATGTTTGTTGGTTTAGCTAAAGATATTGAATTTTGTTTGATTTGATCACTGATTTTTTGTTTCTTTTTTTTTTTTTTTTTTTTTTTTTACAATTTGATTCAATTGTTGCACAATTTTATTTTATTTTTTTGGGCGATTTTGTAATTCAAACGACTAATATTTTAAAAGAAATTAGTTTTTTCATGGGAAATGATTTTTTCCACAAAATAAGAAATAATTTGTATAATTATTTATCTTTCATATTTGCAATACTTAAATCAAATTTATAAGTGATGAAATTAATATCATAATTAACATTCGTGACACATTGATTACTTTAACCACTAAATTAATCTAGACCATAGATGGATTTTAAAATTTAACAACTAAAATTTGTTTATTATGGCTCCATACCCGGACAGATATAACTATTACAAAACTCAACTTCAATTCTGTTCACCCAACGTTTTTGGATTTATTGATATTTTGGGTGTGATATAAAATATAATATTTTAAGTTAAATATATTTTTTTTATTTTTTGTAATAAGTGTTTTTTTTTATTTATATGTACGTATATTTTTGTATGTGATATAGATAATTATATAAAAAATATAAAATATTATTTTTTCATAATCACAATTCCAAAAATTTGTTGCACGGACGAAAGAACCCAATATTTCCTCCAATCTAGCCTCACAACAAAATAAACCACATATATATATATATATATATTACCCATATTTTTATAGCAATTCCTATTTTCTAAAATTCCCAAGCATTGCTACACCTGATGTTGACTCAACATGTTTTGGACATTCAAATCCAAAAAAACTTTTAAGTTTGAATTAATATCAATTTTCTTATTCATTAATTTTATTTAAATTTAACTAATAATTTATCTTTATATAAATATAAATATAAGTGACATAAATAATACTCTCTCCGTTTCAAAATTATAGTTTGGGTGTTTGGCACGAGATTTAATGAATATTGATATTATATTGATAGTGAATAAAAAATACGATAAAAGATTTTTTTTATCATTCTGAGTGTATTAGTATAAAAAACAGTGGCGATTGTGTAATAATAATGAAAAAGTAAAAGTAGTTTTATAATGATATGATTATTTATAAAAATAAGACTATTATTTTGGGACGGACAAAAATGAGAAGGATGGAGTAATTACTATTCTTTTCATCTCATTCAAATGTACTTTTTATATTTCTTTTTTTTTTTTTTGTAAAATAATACTCCCTCCATCCCAAAAGTGTAGTATTATTGTGTTGCACATAAGATTTAAGGAATATTGAAATTATATTGGTACTTGGTCACAAGTACGGATAAATGAATTTTTTATCCTTGTGAGTATATTAGTGTAAAAAGTAGTGACAATTGTGTAATAATAATAAAAAAGTAGAGATAATTTTATGGTGATATGATTATTTATGGAAATGAGACTATTTTTTTGGGATGGACAAAAATTGTAAAAAAAACTATTGTATTGGAACGAAGAGAGTAATATTTTAATATTAAAGTACGATAAATAAAAAAGTAAAGTAAAGTATTAAATATATTTTATTAAACTAGTTATAAAAAATAATAATATAAGTAAAAAAAAAATAGTAACAAATTAATTATTATTGATTAAAGAGAGTACTACTTTAAAAGAGAGTATTAGAATTTTAAATATTTATATAATTTTAGCGTACAAAGAGAGTATTAGTATTTTACTCGTTCCGTCGATTTTGAAAGTATATATTTGATTTTTATTTTTGATATTTGAATATTAATTATTATATCAAAATATACTAAAAATTAAGGAAAAAAGACAAAAAAAAAAAAAAAAAAAACTTCTATTAGTGTTTTATAATACAAATATAAGAATATTTTTAATGTTAAGTATAATGACACAAAAAGTAAATGTAAACTTATTAAATGAACGGATAGAGTATTATTTAGTGAAAGTGTATAAGAGAATTTTAAGATTTTTACTCTTTGTAGTCTATGTGTTCCATTTGTCTCGACTCAATAAACTATTTTTATCATTTTTGTTTATCTTATTAAAAAATATCAATTTTCTATTACAATAAAAATAATTTATTTATAAATATCAAAATATTTCTTATTTTTACAAAAGTATTCATTTCTTTATACTTGCAATAACAAAAATATTAAAAATTATTTTATAGACTACCATTAACCAATATATGTGAACTTATTTTTATTATAATAGAAAAGTGACATACTTGTGTGAAAGATGAAAATAATAAAATACAGAATAATATATTTTACTATATTTATTCAAATTTATGCTTTTTTTTTAATCGTTTTTAGTAAAAAAATTATATTATTTTTTATTATAAAAAGTAAAAGAGCAATTATTATCTAATTTCGTTGAAACTTGTCTCTAAATATTTAAACATGCCATTTGATGTCGAATAAAGTATATATTTTACATATCATTTCAATCTATATCTTCGTATATTTCTCTTAACTCAAAGTAATGTATCTTGTATATATCTTAATATGTTATATTTATACATCAATTAATATAAATTGTATAAAATATATTTATTTTTTATTGAATGGATTTGTATTGATTCTACACATATAAATACAACCTTAAATCAAATAATCTTAAATCTAAACATATAAATTCAGCCTTAAAAGTTATTTCATCTAGGAATTCTTTTTTTTTTTTAATAATTATTTTTATGAATAAAAAAATGGAAAAGCAAAACCTACAAACACATTATGGCCTTCAATCCAATAATTATTTTATTTAAAAAATATTGCCAAATTTATTTTTATTATTGTATTTAATTATTACTCACTATTCACATTTATTTTTAAAAGAATACCATTAACTTTATTACCATTTTTCTTTATTATTTTTAATTACTAACTAAATTAAAAAAATGCCTCAAACTATCATTTTATTTTTCCTTATTCAATAAAATATATATATATATATATTTTAAATTTTATTATTAATATTAATATGAATTAATTTGGAGGTATTTTTATTGAAATAGTTTTTGCTGAATATATGGCAAGCACTATTTTGTCCTTTCTCCCTAAAAGCAAACCAAAACTGCAAATTTATTTCCTTATTAGTTATTACTGAAATGTGAAGCTGACTCCTCCTCACTCACTCGCTCACTCACTCCTCTTTCTCTATCTCTATCCCTTTCTCTCTCCCTCACCAAATTCCTCTCACTCTTTTCCACACTTTCTCTCTCTAAACTTAACGCAGCTACGCCGCTGGGCTTCCAATGGCGACCGAAGGCCTCAACAAATCGACCTCGCTCCCTCCTTACCCACAGGTGAAAAACACCCCAAGATTTCTTCTTCTTCTTCTTCTTCTTCCCAGTTCTGTATAATTTCTGTTCTTTTGCCGTTTCAGGTTACTCCATGCTCTCCAGTTCGATTTTTTTTTTTTTTTTTTTTTTTTGATTTTATTTAACTGTAGTCTCTATTTTAATCTATTTCCTCCACATTTGGTGCTTCAATTTTAGATTTTACTGCGAGCCTTAAGCATTTCTGGAGAAACCCTTTTCGCGAGTTTTTCCGAAACCCTCAAATTTATTTTATTCGATTTAATTTAATTTAATTTTAATTTGCCTCCATGGAATCTAAGTTTTAGCTAAAGGCAATGTAGCTCTTAGTTTTACACAGTAATTGAGCGTTATAATCTCTACTTTTTTCTCCCCAAACCTTGAGACTTTAATTGTAAGGAGGGAATATGAAAAAGTTCGAAAATCTGGGTGTGTAATGGGCGTCACTTTTTCCCAAAATCCGAGCTCTTCGATTTCATAAAAGCCTTAATTTTTCGAACATATTCGAATACCTCAATTATCTTCCAATTCCACTTTAAGATAGAGATTCAAAATCTGACATTTTGCCCTAACCCTAATTTCTTCCTCTGTTCTTCAGATGATTCTGGAAGCTCTGGATGCAATGAAGCAGCCAGAGGGCGCCAACAAGTCATTCATATCGAAATACATGGAATCGAAATACGGTGAAATGCCGGCCGGCCACATGGATTTGCTATCCCTTCACCTGACCAGAATGACCGACAGCGGGGAGCTTCAATTCCTCAAGAACAATTACGTCCGGGCAGGCCTCGACGCGCCCCCTAAGCGCGGCCGAGGCCGCCCTCCAAAGCCCAAGGATCCCTTGGCTGCAGGCACCATCCCTGCTGCTCCTCGGCCCCGTGGTCGACCAAGAAAGGATCCCAATGCGCCTCCTGCCCCGAAAAAGCAAAAGCCTGCATCTGGCCCCCCTCCCATCTCCAAGACGGGGAGGCCGAGGGGAAGGCCGAGGAAGGTGAATGTGCAGGCAATGACTGATGGCGTCGAGGCGTGAGGTTGAAGATGAAGATGAAGCTGACTTGTGGTTCTCCCCGTACGTACGTACGTTTTCTTTTTAACTTTATGAGGTGCTTTGTGTGTGTTTTTTTTTTTTTTTTTTATGTGTTTAGTTTGGTTGGATTTGCGTAAAGTAGGTAAGTTTCGTTTAGGACTTAATGATGCGTAATTTGGTTGGTTTAGACGGTGGAGAGTGTTTGGTTAAAATTTTTCGGTGTTGTTTGTACTCTTACTCTAATGCATTTGTTGACGACGTTGGTGTTCCATGTGCGTACTTACCTTGTTGAAGGGGTTTGTTCTTTCTTGTTGTTTTCTTTTTAGAAGTGGTCCATTGTTGTGAATTATTGCATGTCTTGACGTATTTTTTACCCGTATTTCTTGTGGAAACCGTTAGTATGTTCGCGCGGACAACCTTAGCTTAGCATTGTATAAGTCCTAGTAATTTGACGAATGCGCGATCTCTTAGAGGTTAAAAGAATGGTGTTTGCTAGAGATTTTTGTGCGGATTTTTTGAAAAGTAAAGAGGTTAGTGTATTCATATGTGCTCTTTTATCGTTGTAAATAGGTGTTTTTTGCTCGTTAGAGAGCGGATTGTACCGGCATATAGGGGCATGTTTCTTTCAGGTTTTTTTGGTTTGGAAGTTTAGTTTTTTTTGGTTTAAGTAATTGTAAAACTTCGGGTGTGTTTGTTTGAGGGTTTGGATTTTGGATTGGGATTTGAATAGTAAAAAATTTGAATTTGAATAGTTGTATGATGTGATATAAATAAGAATTGATGTGATGTTTTGAATGTAAAATTGATTTTTAGTATAATATAAAAAATAAATGTTTGATTTGATGTTTTTGGAAGAAAAATTTTGTGGGAATAGTAGAAATCTCACAAAATCCCTCAAACAAACACACCCTTAATGTTTTGTGAGAAGAAAAAATATATTTTTATCGAAGAACATTCTGATCGAATAGCAAGAAACTAAAATAAAACCTCAAAGAACACATTCTAGGTGTTTCCTTGTGTCTTTGGATGTTTTTGGCTATTTTGAGTTGATTTATTGAATTGTTTGGATCGAAAAATAGTGATTTGATGCAACATTAGTGTAGAAAAAAATGTATTTTTTTGGCAAACATGAAAAAGGATGAGTTTGTTTGCTAGGACTCTATTCTTTTAACATTTTTTTTTTTTTTTCATGTAATATGATGTTATTTAAGAAAAATATATAATTTTCTCGTAAAATATTATATTAAATAACCGTGCAAATATAAAACACAACCACAAACAAAACACTCCATCTGTGTCTTTGTTGTGGTGTCGTCCTTTTTATTACCGGTAACTGAAATAGTTATCGAATGTAATAGTTTGTACATAAAATTCTTATATTTTTATACAAAACTATAAATTACATGATAACAAATCGATGTAGTAAGTTGCATCCGGGCGTGTAGGAAAATTAAGTAATGGTTTCTTGAAGAATTCACTATTGTCTGAATACGACATTTAAGTTTTGATGGATAATAATAATAATAATAATAATAATAATAATAATAAAGAGATTGATTACATTTTGTGATGCTGATTTCCTAGGACGACAAGACAATAGACAATATAGCTAAGATAGGATAGGAACATTCCCTTCACTTCGAGGAAGGGAAGCCAAGACATCAATCGGATAATTCTGTTATCAAATATGTCCTTGTCTTGTCTGATTGTCGTTGTTGTCCGCCTACGTGTTAGCATTGGTCGGTCTAAACTGAAAAAAAATTACCTCAGTCCCTTATCTATCTATGTATTTGTTTTTTGCACAAAATTTTAAGAGTATTAGTATTACATTAGGAGTGTGATATGAATAAAGTAAAAAAAAAAAAAAAAAAAAAAAAAGAAGAAGAAGAAGAAGAAGATTAAAATAACCTTATTTGTATTGTGTATATAAATGTAATGATATTTGTGTAATATATTGTAAGTTGTAATAGTATTTGCTAGAAATAGAAATGTATACTTTTTGTTACGGGACATATAAAATGACATTATTTTTTTGGGATTATATAGTTTGGATTGTTCAGCTAATTGGTTCGATTCGTTCAAAAATTGGAATTTCGGTTTTGGTTTGACTATAGTTTTCATTTTTTTAATTTCGGTTAAGTGAAATGATTATTTTTGTAAAATTTAAGCATATTTTGTATTTGTATATAAATTATTTTTACTGTAACAAAAAAAATATATTTTTGAGAGAAACAGATGAAAATAGTAAAAATAATATTTAGTTGGGATAGAAGGAATATGAGTTTGAGTATTTATATTGCACTCTATCGGTAATGTTTGCCCTAAATGTTTCTCTTTCATAAAATAATTCTAAATTTTGTTTTGTTCGATTTTAAACCAAATTGAACTGAACTAGTTAGTTCGATTTTGGAGATTTTCGATTCGGTTTTGGTTTCGATTTTTATCAACCTGAGACCAATCTAAATTTAAAATTTGATTCCCGACCGAATATACAACTATAAACCCACCTACCTTTAAACCTTAATGTATGAGATGAGATGAGATATCATATATGTTAAAATTAGTTATTGGATACTCTTTCCGTCCCTTAACAATTTATCAATTTTTTCATTTTGGTCAGTTCATAACAAAGTATTCATTTCATTTTTTTTTTAGTAATTGTACTATCTACATAATATTACAAATACTCTTTCAATTTACAATATATTACACAAATGTCGTTACCTTTATATCATACAATACTAATAGGGTTAATTTAATTCTTTTATCTTTAGTTCTACTTTATCCCAATATAATACTAATATTTCTAAAACTCCGTGCAAAAAGAAAATTAATATATAGATATGGGACGGAGGGAGTATATTGTTTGAGGTCATATCATGCTTTCGAAATGTATAATTAATACATTGAGGGTGTGTTTACTTTGTAGGATATGATTATAATATACTCCATCCGTCTGCCAAATTTATTTTCACTTTCTTTTTTAGTTCATCTATTGAATTTATCTCATTACTAATTTTGGCAAAGTCAACAAATAAATATTTAATTATTACCTTTTATTCAACACATATTTACAACAAATACCAGTAATTTTTATTACATTCTCTCTCTTCGTTTAGTTTACTTTTTAACTAAATTTTCATAAATACCCTCAACTACATATCAATTTTTAATAAAATATTCATTTTTCTTAATTCCTGTGCTGAGTCCAAATGAGCTAATTTTAATGGACGGAGGGAGTATGTATTATTTAAATGAATCATATGATAAAATAAATTAATATGTACTATAAAAAATTAATAGTAAATTAAATATTAATGAAATATAAAAGTCTTTTTACATTAATTATACTTTAATATTTTTTAATACAACCTATAACAATAATCTTTAATTATAATATTATTATATCGACTTTATTTTATTCGAGTTATAATAATGCATAGTAAACACATGATTAAGTTGTATAATATAATTATAAATATGTATATATGTATATATTAGTAACTCATTTTCTTACCTAATTTTAATATAATGGTGAATTAAATCATCTTGGTTAAGAAAAGATTTGATCCTACAGTTATTTATTTAAGATAATAATAATAATAAAGGTTTTCAAACTTTTAAATTATAATAAAAACATCTGAATTGAGCAGAATTGATCATGTAATAACATTTATTTTATTTTATTTTATTTTATGTTAAAGTAGTATAGAATTTAAAGTTTGTGTATTAGACCATACGATGAAAATGAAATCTCATTTTTCACTTAAAAAATAGAGTGGAGCTATAATATGTAATTATATTTTTAAAAAAATGATTAACTGTTTTGTAAATTTTAAATTTATATAATTAAAAATATATTATTATAGTTAATATATATAATATTTATGTATATATTAAATAATTATAAATTTATATATTATTTGTAATATTTTTAATTAATAAAAAATGATCAATTTTACTATATACTACATCTATCACTTAAATTTTGAGTATTTATTTATTTATTTTTTGTCTATGACCTAAAAGCATCTCCATTTTATTTTTTAAGTAAAGATTATATCACTTTTTTTAAGCAACGAAAAATATTAAGATATAAATCGTATATATTGGTGATAATATAAAACAGTTAAAATTGAGAGGAATTTATAAGCAAGTAATATAAAATAATACAAAAATAAAATATGTAGGAAATTTTATCCTTTAAAATAAAAAATTAAAGTTTATAATAATTGATGTAAAATTAATGCATGTCAAGACATGTATGCAACCATAAGAGTAAAAATTCAAAATTCTATGTAGCCGACTGATTCTAAAGAAATATCTAATACCCAAAAAAAATAAATAAATAAATTGCAATGAGAAATGACAAAAAAAAATATGGCCTAAAATGGAAAAAATATCATGACAAAAGGTGGTATTCATTGCAAGTTTTGTTGTGAAAAAAGTTGTACTTGAATTGACGCAAAATTTTTAGCTCAAAAATTTATCATTTACTATGGATTTATACCCGACATAAAAAGTCAACTTTTTCGTTATATAAATGATTAAGAATATAATTAACTATATTTTTGTAATAAAAATCACAATAAATCTCTTGTCTAGAGTGAGAACCCATGCCCTCAATGGTTAAGATCATCCGAAAAATGCACACATAATGCTTGCTTATGTTGTACTAGCTATCTAGGTTCAGTTAGAGGATAAACTTGTTGTATGTAGTTTATTCTAATAAGGGTTTTTGGGGAAGGTGAAAATATTGTACGGAAATTAGAAAATTATATTATTAATCATCAAAATAATGAGTCATCATAAAACAAATTCAATAAATTAAAATTTAAATAATATAATCCATAGATAAAACTAAATATAAATCTAAATTTACTAAATTTAAAACTGAAATATTTAAAATATTTTAATAAGGGACCGTGTGGATTTATTACCAACAGTTGTGGTACTTGTCACTATTGATGTTGCGTTCATACACGTTGTTGTAACCATCATTGGTCTTAAGTTGTCGTTGGTTGTCTCTCCCTCTACGTCGAATACTATCACTATTTTCGTTTGACGTACATCCTATGCTCGATTTTTTTTTTTTTTTATGGCAAGCCAACTATTGCTTTGCTGTAAGTAAAAAATTACCTTCTGTGTTTGTGGTTAGTGTATTTGAATGTAAAAGAAATCAATCATCAACACCTTTGAGACCACCGGTGACTTTCTTGATGGATAAACTAAATAATGATGATTTGTATTTCAAATCAAAACGAAATATAGACAGATAGCCAATAATATATATACATATTATTATTAAAATATTACAATTTTGCGCATAACACATTTGCATTAATACATTCAACATTTTCAACATATTGAATCAAAAACTTTAAAATAGCACAATTCATATTACGCACGACGCAACAACATAATATAATCTCATTAAATCATACTATCAAAGTATAAACCTAAAACAATTTTATTTATTTTTTCAATTGAGACATTTTGACAAACACCTGTACGGCATACACATTACACTTACATACACCGCGCAATTATCTATGTATACATATATATATATTTTTGCAGAAAGTAACGGGAACAAACCATGGCAGACTTGAAAGAATTCTTCAAGTGATGGTTTAGCCAACCAATCATGTTTGTTCAACGAAATTTGATCACTTTTTTCAGCTCAACCTCACATTGTTGATTTCGAATATACAAATTTGAGGAATTTGTGTATTATACTACCAATTTACAAAACATAGCTTATTATCAAATTTTGAAATATGTATGAAGTATTTTTTTTAGATGTTAGATATGATAATATAAAAAATAATATTTTATGTTGATTTTTTGAAAATAAATAATTATATTATATACTATATTGTATTAATATATATTATATTTTTATTATAATATTTATGAAAATTATTCTATCTAATTGTACAAACCCTATTATCAGTAATAAACATACAACGAATACACAGAAACGTTGCTTTTTTAATTTTTTAATAATGTATTTTTCTTATAATGAATAATGTATTTTTATAAAACTAACATGTAATAAAAAAAAAAATTGCTTAAAACTGAAATAAATTGCAATAGAACTAAATTATTATTATTTTTATTTTTAATATCATATTTATTTCTTTAATATTTAAGGAAAAGTATTATAAATTGATTAATATTATTGACAAATTAAAGAAAAGAATTGAAAAAAATAATAATTGCATTCGGATCAGCATTGTAATTGCATTAACTTTTCATGCCATTCGAATTATTATCGGTAGATAATAGTTATACTATATTATTTAAATTTGCAATTTCCTTTTTAAATTCTTTTATTTGTTTGAAAACATATGAAATAATTTAAATATTAAAGTTTGATAAAAATTCAAAAGAAACGCATCATCTCAATGCTAATCATTTTCAGGTGAACACACGACATTAAATGTTAAATGTAAAAATATAAAGTATATTTTGCATTGACTTGAATAATGTTTATAACTAGTAAGAGTGTATAGAATAGCCTATATATATATATATGAAAATTTTCAATTGAAAATCTAGACTTTTATTGTCTATTACATTAAAAGTTTATATTGATACATTATGTCCACATCACTCGTTGGAGCTATGGTTAGTTGCAAATTGAAATAGGTAGTTATGAGTTTTTTTTTTTAGTAACGGTTTTGTTCATTTAAATAATTTTTTTTATTGACATGATTCTCAATATGTAATATACATTATATATATATTTACAAAAAATAATATTTAACACAAAATATTAATTTATATATTATTTATATAATTGTTCATATTTAAGGTAAAAAGTCAACTTAAGTTAAAATACAAACATATTATTTGATTGTAAATTGTATATGATGTAATATGTATTTGATATGATTAAATATAGATTAAAAATATAGTTTTTATTTTGTTTGTTTTTTATTTTGGTTTAAAGGAATTTTTATTTTATTTTATTTTTATTTTTATGTAAAGTATAGAGAATTATATAGATAATATGAAATAATGAGTGTGTGTAATATATTAATTTTTTTGGAGAAATATGTTGAATATTTTTTACAAAAAGAACACATCAATGTTTAATGTTAAATTAGAGTACTCCAGTCTAAACGTAAATGCCGTCACATTTTTTATACTATTTCTATTTTTCTTTTCTATGCTAAGTGTCATAATCATTTTTTGGGGTAAACAACGTTGACTACTGATGTTTATAATATTAATAGACTATTTTATGTTCTCCATAACGTGAATCCTTTTGAGCAATTATATGATTAGTCCCATAATTATAGTATATTATACCTATTTGGTTATGTGTGCTTTGTTCTCATCATGAATTGACAAATCTACAACCTAAAGCTTGTTTATATTACTTGTTTGCATATAGGGTAAAACACAAAAAATTTATGCGCTGAGATCCTATATCTAATAGATTACATAAATCATATAGTGTCACATTTTGACAATATATTTCTTTTTCCACTTTATCAAAGCTTAGCATACCATTTGGCTCGTCTTATGTGTTTTTTTTTTCTCTAATTCTTTTCCAACACTACCTTATATGCATCACAGTTCACTGATCGATCCGTCTTACCACCGTCTGTTGAAGTCAGTCAACTGCATCTCTTGACCTAATGTCTCATCTTGAGTCCCTCACAAAGTTTTACTTATTTCACTTGTATAAGTAGACTTTTCGTCCACCTCATTGACTATCATTGTCATTAAGCCATTTTATTTCATTATAAGTCTAGGTCATTTCGTGAAATGAATGCTAATCCATTGTGGAAATAACCTGTGATTGAGGAGCTACATATTTTGAAAAAAACTCATACTTAGGATTTGATAGATTTCTTTTTAGCGAAATACCTATTTAGATTTTCTTTCTAGCAAAATACCTATTGAGTGCAAGTGAGTTTTCTAAATAAAAAAAAATTATAATATTGTTAAGGGTTATATAATGGTTAAGGGTTAATCATAGGAATATAAAATTATTGATTATAAGGAGTTTTTTGCTCTAATAACTCGTCTTGCTATTAATCATTATTTCTTCATAGTTGTTGTTGTTAGTTGTTGGTTTTTTCTTCACTTAGATCATAAAAAATATATTTTCCATGCAACTCTTTTTGAGGAAGTTTATATGACTTTTATTTTAGATTTTTCATTTTTCTGATGGGGTTTATCATTTATTTTACGCTTTATTTAAGTTGAAGCAAGCCCCTTACGCTAGGTATGCCACATTTAGCTCTATCTTAGTGAAGTGTGATCTATTTGACTGTAGTGTTCTTGTGGAGGATTCGGACACACAATGTCAGGAGTGTCGCTTAGAAATTAGGGCTCTTCTGTTGCGATTTGGGGGTGCAGCATACATATACCATCCTCCGTTGTTCCGTTCTCCAACACATATACGCACATTACATGTTTCAATTGACATAGTTATTTAATTCATATATATGCTCCGCAATGATGAATAATAGGATAAAATGTTTCCTGTCTTCTTTGTCCCTTACCCTCTCTACCTTTCTCTGTCGTCAATTTTAATTCCATGTCCGAAGCTTTCTCAATGAATTATTCTTATTATTCTTATTATTATTATTACATTGTTATATATATACGTAAGAGAATTTTGTTTGAATATTGTGGAATTAATTTTTTATGTTGTGATTCTGATATGACCTGGTTTTTTATGGATTTTAATGAACTTTCTGGATACTTTTTAAATCACTCACCTTTGGTAGGTGATGATAATTTCTACATCAGAAAAGAGAATTCTAATATTGTTGATTTGGGGCTACGCTTAAAGGTCTTGCAAACCAACACTTCCTATTCATCGCTTCCTCATAGTAACAACATTCTTTTTCGTAATTTTTTGAATTGAAAATAATCGTTGAATGTGATATTTTTGTAAGAAAAATGAAATTGAAAATGTAAACTAATATTTTAAATGTAATTAATGAAGGGAATTATGAAGAGATGGAAGAGTGGCATCATCTGCAGCCTGGTTCGAAAAGGACAACAAGTTTAGACTGACGAAATAATGTTAAGAAACACGGTTGTGGCAAAGATGAATAATCCAATTAGGGAATTCAAAGCAAGCGTCGTTGGACATACACGAAAGTTAACATGAATAGAATGCTGATTGGTAGGAAAATATGCATATATTACTATAAGGATTATTTGAGCCTCGCTGACCGACTTGAGGACATGGTTTGTAATCTAATGCGTCCGCAATAACCTTTTAGACATCCTCTACTCTTGAGTTTAATGGGTGTCGATTTTATTTTATTTTTATCAAGACAACAAATAATGTATAGTCTGAGGTTGTTCGAGACTAATTCACATTTCGAATTATTTTCAAGAGTTAATGCCGTATGTGCATAGAGTAGACCTCGTTTTTCAAATTCAATAGCTTGAACATTTGCTACATATGCAAGAAGTTATAAACCAATATTCATATTTTATTTGTATACTTTTTAAATAAAATTTCAAAGATAACATACTTGCAATGATCTTACCAAAGAACATCTCATTTTTAAATAATCATACATTTTCTTTCACTTTCATCGGAAATATTTTTTCCATAATATCAGGACAGTCTTCCGATTTTTTATTAGAAACCTTTTTTCGGTTCATTTGAAAATTCTGGCCACTTCAGATTGCATGTAAATGTTATAAAAATAAAAAATAAAAAATCTGGAGGCCTAACTATTCTACATATCGGTAGAGCACCTTGATAATGTTGAATCATATTTCTTGCATTTTCTGTAAAAAAAATTGATGGCAAAATGATCCGCATTCCTACGGAGCTGGCGTCCATATCTCCAACTAGAACAATATCCTCAAGATCTTTGTACAAATTTGCACGAAATTGGCTTTAACGTGTCTTCAAGTAATTCAATCGTTATTGCTCAATTGCAACTAGGGATGAAAATACGCCAGGTCAGGCCAGACTTTGGCTAAATAGGCTTGGCCTGTTTTAAAAATATCTGGCCTAAGCCTGACCTGAAAGCCTGAACCTGATTTTTTAAAAGTCCGGTCTGGCGTACAAGCCTATTTAAAAAACTACATAATATTTTTATTTATTTATCTGCAAATTTAGTTAGAAATAAAAAATAAATAAAGTATAAACAATTATTTAATATATACACAAGTTAAAAACTTCTATTTTTTATAATAAATTTATAATTAAAATTATTTAATAAATATTATTAATAGATAGAAAGTTATTTTTAATATATAATTATAAAAAATATTTTTATAAAAAAATAATAATATTAAATATATTGGCCTGTTAATTAAATAAAAAGGCTTTAAAATTTTTTTTGACCTGATATTTTTAGTAAATAGATCAGGCGAGGCTAAGCTTTATATAGGTCAGGCCGTAGGCCCTGATAGGCGGTCTGGTCTATTCCCATCCCTAATTGCAGCATAACAATTTACTGCAAGTTCGTTGAACATACGTCCTCCCTGCAATACGGTTTTACCTTATGATACTCTATGTTGAAAACGATATATTTAAAATTCTCGAATGGTAACTTGCTTGGCAGTTGAAGTGCACAGAATCCCTATTCTCCATCCATCTGTTCCATAAGAAAAAAATAATGAAATTTTAATGGTGTATAAAAAAAATGAGTTTCAATTATACGCTTTAAGTATCCATCATTATTGCAAACGATGATATCTCGACTTTAGATATTATTACTGGGTTCTCCAAAAATTAGAGCGACAATTTCATTTGTTGTGAGCATTGTATATTATCGAGCACCTCGGTCATGAAAAATACAAATACTTATTGTGATAGTCAAAGTACTACGGAGATAACACATAATGATATATTTCATGAGTGCACTAGACATATTAGGCTTGACTATCACTTCATTCGCTAACATGCTGCCCATGCGACTGTATATCTCATTATGGTCTCCTCTGCAAGTCAAACGGTAGATTTGTTCGCCTGCAAACTAAGCTTGACAAGGCAAGTCATAATGGGTACCTGGAAACGTCAAGATTTGAACCCATGACTTCACGATCACAATTCCATCTTCACTCCACCAGACCATCCCTTCCGAAATTACCAAGTCTTTTCTTTCTAGCTACCGTCGGTTGTTCTTATACAAACTCAAATTAGTCTCTATTCTCCCACTTTGAACTTGAGGGGATCTTAGCTATATTATTTGTATTGTTTGCATTATTTTATATTTCTTACAAAAGTTGACATAATCAAACCTCGATTTTTAGTGTTGAAACAGTACCAGAGAGTGTAAAACTCTACACGTGCAATTCAATTTGAGTTTACAGCTGAGAAAAAAAATAAAAAATAAAAAGAGGATTGGAAAACGCGTAAAGGTCTCGAAAATTATATATATATATATATATAGAAAAAGTTATCTCTCTGGTTTGGGCCACAATAAATAAAAAGGTAAGTAGAGGGAGTGGAATGTGTGTTCGAAGGTAATAGGCACAAGTAAGTAAGTATGCAAATTATAACAATATAATATCGATCAAATTAAACAAGACTAGAAAAGTGTATCCACAAATATATTGCCCCAAAACAAAATGTCTTCTTTCTTCCCAATGATTTGGTCCACACTCCTTCAATTCGTCTATTATTATTATTATTATTATGCCTACACCTCGACAAGAACAATGTAGAAACACTTAGTGAGGTAGCAGAAGATAAGGTTGTCGTGTGTGCAATAATTATATGTATATATATATATAGAGAGAGAGAGAGAGAGTAGAGAGAGAAAGAGACAGATCACACATGTAAGTTGGAGGGAGATGTGCATTACAGGTAAACCAACCTTATTTTACATAAAGTTCTGAGCCCAGTGTCGTCATCATTCGGTTTATTCTACAACACGCTCCACACATAAAAGTAAATAAATAATATAATTTGATAGTGTGAGGTGAACTCGTAAGATCGTGAATCTCAGATGTCTCCAAATTTTACCTGCTACACACAATTCAACCAAAAGTACATATTCAAAAAATAACGATTACGAGTTTCGATATTAATGAAATACATACATAAATAAAATACACACATGTATATATATATATAGATGATGAAGGATAATGTATTACTCCATCCATTCTAGGAATCATGTCACGGTTTCGGTTCAGTCTGTCCTACATTTTAAGTCAGTCTTATTTTAGCTAAAAATTATTATACATTTTTAATTTTCAAATTTATAATTTTTAAAATTTAATTATATTAATTAATTATTTCAATGTTAATTTATAATTATTTTTATTATATTATAATTATCTAACTAATACATTTTAAATTATTTATTAATTATATATTTTTTTTAAATTTTCATGGCTACAGTAATGTGACACTATATATATATATAGTTCGGAGGAAGTAATATTTTTCCATTCTTGCATTTATATATATGTATATCTAATGGCTATAGATTACAATCATCCATATTTTTTTAGAATTGTATACTTGTATTGGATGCATGTGTTTCAGATTTTGATGATTTTAAAAAAATAGGTAAATATAATTATTTTTTTGGGTAAAGAAAAATTTGAAAAAATAATATTTTTTACTAAAAATAAAAATAAAATTAAATGACAATAAAGTAAGAAGAATAAAAATAAATTTGAATTTCGGAGAAAATAGTATAATTATCCAACATTGTTACTAAAATTTAATTTGGGGGCAGTGTAATGTAGTGAGTGTATATTGAGTGGTCCCCATGACAAAGTCAACAGCGACAGGAGACGCATTCGTGACACGTGGTGACATAGACGACGTTGACGGAATGTGGACCTTAATTGAGTTCCTTTTCGACTAAATAAATACTTTTCAAAATATAAATTTGTTTGTTAGTCGATAAAAAAATAATACTCTCGTCTCGATCCAAATGAGCTCTTTAGAGTTTTTGTACTAAATTAAAAAATAATACTTCATCCGTCCATAATTTAATGTTTTTTTTTTTTTGGGATAGTCCAATAATTACCGTTATATTTTATTTTTTAAATATAAATTTTATTTTTTTACTCTTAACTCATTTATTATTTTTAATCACTACCTTACAATAAATGACAAATTTGTCCATTCATACGAAAAAGATAATTACCTAAAAAACTGTGCAAATATATTTTAGAACAATAGAAAATATACGGAAGAAGTAGTAATTTATTAGTTAGTGAAGATGGGTAATAAATTTTAACATTTATGTCATTTTACTTTATATAAAAAGTAATTATAGGTATAATGATATCTTTATAATTTAGGTAAAAATTAAATGTATTTTAGCATTGATGTATAATTACTTTTACTAAAATAGAAAATAAATGCTTTGAAGTGAGACATCTGAAAATATTAGAAATTGTACTCTTAAGTTGGAATGGAGAGAATAGTATTTTATTAGTTAATGATAATGTAAAATAATATTAATACTTTTGGATTTGTAAATACAAATAAAAAATATTTTTTATAAAAGATATGAGTATTTTAGAATATTAATACTATTATATCAAATAATTTTACTCCTAAATACTATTTTTTTATAATGTAGTTAAATTACTTTAATAATATTGTTATAAAAATAAATAGGAAAAAATTAATTTTGGTCTCAAAATAAAAATTCATTAATTTTGGTCCCAATATAAATCATTCTAATCAATTTTAGTCTCATCGTTAAAAGCCTAACGAAAAATGCTGACATGGACATAACGGTGTTGACGTGACAGCTGATCTAAAAAAATACGACCATGTACAATTATACACGGTCATATTTAATTCTACATGACCGTGTACCTTTCTTCTTGGTCTAAAATTTTATTTTATTTTATTATATATGTTTTAAAAAAAATTATTTTGAATTGAAAATAGTTAGATATAGGTAAAATGAAAGAAAGTCAATAGTAATCTCAATATAATTAAAATGTATCAATTTTAGTTTCAATATATAAAAAAATTAACGGGTATAATTTTTTGGAAATTTTTTCCTAAAATTTTACAATTCACCAAAAATTTCACTCTTACAAACATCCAATTAAAGAACTACTTTTGAAATGTAAAATTAAATTTTAATATAATAGTACGTAAAAAAAAAGGTGTTTAATTGAATGTTTATGGGAGAAAGAAAATGATAAATAATAAAATTGCAGGAAAAATCTTTCAAAAGAATATACGCGATTGAAATTTTTTTTATATTGAAACTAAAATTTATACATAGTAATTATATTCGGATTAATATTGATTTTTTCGATTT